ACACCCTAGGAGAAAAATGAATACTTCAACGACATCTTTGAGCTGTTCTATCAGATAATATCACCAGATCTTAGAAAATAGGAATAGTCCAGCAAGTTCACAGGTTGAAAATCCTTAATTTTAGGGTCCAAAATCGGGAGTCTCACTCTTAAATAGGGAGAGTTGACAAGTATGTATTTCTGTATAATGAATGGAAATATACATACCAATGCAGTGTATCATATTTTCCTATACACAACATCTATTCTTGAGGAAATTAAGTGCCCATTAAAACAATTTGATTAAAACCAGATCTTTTATTCCACTCTGATACTCTATGCTCCAGTTGGACTGGAACTTAGAGTATTGGAGTGGAATTAAAGATTCAGTTTTAATCAGATTGCAATTAAATTTACTTATACCAGTCCATTACATAAAACAAATTGATGTATATCCATACATATTAAAATATCAACAAAATCAAATTTGGCATTAAATCCAATGACGCGACACAAAAGCATCCATCATTTCTACTGCTAAAGCCAAACGCAGGCAACATATGTTGGAATGTAGGAAATCGAAACTTAAGGTGAATCATGAGCCAAGTGATCTATCACATACACAAGATAACAATGCATTATGCAGGTATGTTATGATATTAAAATTCTATACTCATATTTTAACATAAAATAAAACAATATTAAGTACATAATTTGGTAACACATAACAATAAAAACAATCAAAACAGGTTACAAATAAAATTCCAAATAATAAAGTATTGTGAACACGACAAAGGGATTTCCATTATCATAAACAAAGTCCAACAGTGATGCTACATGTATAACTCTGTGATCACAAAGGTTATGGCATTCCTGTTATAGTCATTATAGTAATTTAAACATTTCAATAGAGCGTAACAAACAGTACAGTTAAACAAGAGAGTGATTCATTCACCAATATATCACATGATTATCACTGAATTTAGTTTGATTTTTTAGCATTACATTATATAAAACCAATAAATGTCATGAGATACATAGCAATAAACATGAAATACATGTTACGTCATTTTCCCATTAGACTCCATGTTAATCTTTATGAAAATTAGTTATCCTGGCTTCATTTTCAGTAAAAAAATGATGACATTTGACACAGAGCTGGAGAATTATCTAGCGCTTCTATTGGTAATATTTAAATAATTACCTGTTTCCTAGAATTTAAACCATGATGAGTAAATTGGGCAAAACAATTTTAAGGCAAAATTTAACATTGTGTCTAAGGGAATAACTATAATTGTTTACGCTGGCATGGAGAGTTGTACCTCAACAACAGATGCACAGACAATAATATAAATATTACCACAAAAAATATTGGATGATTATCAGACCGGATTTCAATCTTTAGTAAAATTGGATATCGAACAAAGTCTCGAAAATATTTTGTAATAAAACCCCGTAAATTCACATAGAATCCAATTGGAAACTGAAGTAAGTCTTTTGACATTTGGATATATATATTTATAAATGAAGTGCACTTAATTGTAGAAATTAGTCTTTTAATGCCATCAAAATTCATTTCATCATATTGCAAATACTGTAGAAAAAAGAAATCCTTATACATAAAACCATTATCAAATTTGTAAAGAACCTATACTTTCACATTACGCTGCCCTTGTCAGCTCTATTAAATTAATTAAACAGCATCACTGTCTGAGCATTCATAAACACAAACGCAGTAATTCTGCTTTAGAAGAATTGTATGTTTTCACTCTATAAAGCCAATAGGGAGGTTATTCTTACTTATTATTTTCAGATCAATGACATCAACAGAAACAATATTCCTGCCCGACATTTCATCTGCCACAGGACTCGTTACAAGACACACCATCCCCTCACAAGATGCACTAACCCGATCACAGAACACACCATCCCAGCCACAGAATATGCCATCCCCTGTATCATCCCAATTACAAGTCACACCATCCCCATCAAAGACACCATTTTTGTTTGCCACAAGTTACACCATCCCTGTGACAGGACATGACATTCCTGTCACATGGCACAGTCTCTAATCAAAGAACAAGCTTATCCTCTACTTAACTTTTGCCATACAGTTGTTTTGACTACCAAATATAATGCCTACTACAATTAACAAAAGTGAAAATAATAAAATCCTTAACAACTTGAATCCAACTACAGATTTCTGAAAGACATCATATGTGGATATATAGTTAATCCACGAGTTATATCACAAAGAAATGTTTAAACAGTAAATCATGTCAACATGAAGTGTTTGACCTATAAGTAACGCCACAAGGATATGTTGTCATGTCAACATGACATGTTTAACCCATGAATCACGCCACTAGGACATGTTTAAGCAGTAAATTACATCATGATCACATATTTAACCCATGAACTAATTCTAATTCATGGATAACATCACGTTTGCATGTTAAACCCCAGAAATAAGTTTAGCCCATGAATTACGTCATCATGACATATGTTTCAGCAGTCAATTACGTAATCAGGACGGAAAAAACTCTTTTTGCATGTTCAGGAATGATGTCTTGACCTTAATTTCAGAATTGATTCGAAAGCCTACAATGATCTATAGAGCTTAGACAACAGTTGTATGCGAAACATAACATTTGATATATTTCATCATCATAATATTAAAAAAAACTGCGGATCTGTACCATCTACAATAAAACTCACGAGTCATTATATAGGGGTAGAGTTGGCTACGAGGAAACAGTGCCGAAACAGATCCTTGGTGTTCTTTTATCTGTAAAGTAAACAAAAACTAACAGGTCTGCTTTACTGACACCGACTTGTTAGGATTTCACCAACCAACACCATTTCTTTTAAACTTTTCAATAATTTTTGTTCATAATGAGCTTAATTTTCTTAGGGCATCACCCTTTAGTGACCCAAGTTTGAACAGTATAAAATGTATATATATATTTGTTATAATTATAATAATATCAAAAGCATTGACAGTTATAGAACTTCAAAGAATATTGAGTATTGCCAATATGTGAAACATTGTTTTCTAAGTGTGTGCAATGCTTGAGCAAGTGAGGTGAAATCTGTATTAAGAAAATGTGAAAAAGTCGACAACATAGCCAGGAAAGGAAGGCTTTGTCATGGCATTAATCTTCATGTCAGATGAAAATAAAAACACACTTCAATTATTATGTCAGTAAAAATTGATATTCAAACTACATGTCGGATCCATAAGTTTTCATCACAAATGCTTTGCTAAAATATGAGGGTAACGTGTAAAATTCCCATCATAGCATAATCCATAGTTAGCCTTACAGAATGTCTTGTGTATGGTGGTGTCTTGTGTATGGTGTCTTGTGTATGGGAGTGTCTTGTGGATGGTGGTGTCTTGTGTATGGCGTCTTGTGTATGGTAGTGTCTTGTGTATGATGGGGTCTTGTGTATGATGGTGCCATCTTGTAAGTACAAAGTAAAAGTAGGCCTTACAGAATGTCTTGTGTATGGTGGTGTCTTGTGTATGGTGGTGTCTTGTGTATGATAGTGTCTTGTGTATGATGGTGTCTTGTGTATGATGGTGCCATTTTGTAAGTACAAAGTAAAAGTAGGCCTTACAGAATGTCTTGTGTGTGACGCCATTTCATATGTACTAAGTAATAGTTGGCCATACAGAATGTCTTGAGTGCGACGCCATTTCATATGTACTAAATAATAGTTGGTCATACAGAATGTCTTGTGTGCGACGCCATTTCATATGTACTAAATAATAGGAGGCCTTACAGAATGTCTTGTGTGTGACGCCATTTTATATGTACTAAATAATAGTTGGCCATACAGAATGTCTTGTCTGCGACGCCATTTCATATGTACTAAGTAATAGTTGGCCATACAGAATGTCTTGAGTGCGACGCCATTTCATATGTACTAAATAATAGTAGGCATTACAGAATGTCTTGTGTGTGACGCCATTTCATATGTACTCAATAATAGTTGGCCATACAGAATGTCTTGTGTTCGACGTCATTTCATATGTACTAAGTAATAGTTGGCCATACAGAATGTCTTGGGTGCGACGCCATTTCATATGTACTAAATAATAGTAGGCATTACAGAATGTCTTGTGTGTGACGCCATTTCATATGTATAAAGTAATAGTAGGCTTTAGTATGATGGTGTCTTGTGTATGATGGTGCCATTGTGTAAGTACAAAGTAAAAGTAGGCCTTACAGAATGTCTTGTGTGTGACCCCATTTCATATGTATAAAGTAATAGTAGGCTTTACAGAATGTCTTGTGTGTGACGCCATTTCATATGTACTGAATAATAGTTGGCCATACAGAATGTCTTGTCTGCGACGCCATTTCATATGTACTAAGTAATAGTTGGCCATACAGAATGTCTTGGGTGCGACGCCATTTCATATGTACTAAATAATAGTAGGCCATACAGAATGTCTCGTGTGCGACGCCATTTCATATGTACTAAGTAATATGAGGCCTTACAGAATGTCATGTGTGTGACGCCATTTCATATGAACTAAGAAATAGTAGGCCTTACAGAATGTCTTGTGTGCGACGCCATTTCATATGGACTAAGTAATAGGAGGCCTTACAGAATGTCATGTGTGTTACGCCATTTCATATGAACTAAGTAATAGTAGGCCTTACAGAATGTCTTGTGTGTGACCCCATTTCATATGTATAAAGTAATAGTAGGCTTTACAGAATGTCTTGTGTGTGACGCCATTTCATATGTATAAAGTAATAGTAGGCTTTAGTATGATGGTGTCTTGTGTATGATGGTGCCATTGTGTAAGTACAAAGTAAAAGTAGGCCTTACAGAATGTCTTGTGTGTGACCCCATTTCATATGTATAAAGTAATAGTAGGCTTTAGTATGATGGTGTCTTGTGTATGATGGTGCCATTGTGTAAGTACAAAGTAAAAGTAGGCCTTACAGAATGTCTTGTGTGTGACCCCATTTCATATGTATAAAGTAATAGTAGGCTTTAGTATGATGGTGTCTTGTGTATGATGGTGCCATTTTGTAAGTACAAAGTAAAAGTAGGCCTTACAGAATGTCTTGTGTGTGACGCCATTTCATATGTACTAAATAATAGTTTGCCATACAGAATGTCTTGTGTGCGACGCCATTTCATATGTACTAAGTAATAGGAGGCCTTACAGAATGTCATGTGTGTGACGCCATTTCATATGAACTAAGTAATAGTAGGCCTTACAGAATGTCTTGTGTGACGCCATTTTATATGTACCAAGTAATAGTAGGCCTTACAGAATGTCTTGTGTGTGACGCCATTTCATATGTATAAAGTAATAGTAGGCTTTACAGAATGTCTTGTGTGTGACGCCATTTCATATGTATTAAGTAATAGTAGGCTTTACAGAATGTCGTGTGATGCCATTTTATATGTACAAAGTAAAAATATGATTTACAGATAGTTTTCTGTGTGCCACTTATATTATAATTATTATTGGTCCATCACAAAACAGCACTTTAGGTAAAGTTTTGATCCATAAGAAGAAGCCTGGAGTTTATGTAACATCCATAAATGAACCTTGAAATGCATTTTTTTTATATACATCAATAAATATTGTCTTGATCCACAAGACAATGTCTGTTTTGGATACCACGATCCACACATCACAGTTAGAATATATCCACGTTTGGGAAATCGTTTGATTGGAGAGTACTGCGCTGACTGCTACGAGCACTGCCAGGGCGAATCAGGTCAACTGTACTGCCGGCTAAACTCTCCTCGTCTGTGTACTCATAGCGATTGTTTATCTCTCTCAGGTTCAGCGTCCGGTCTACATCTGAATGGTTAAAAGGTCACATTGTACTCGTATAAATGGCATACCCTTATACCTGGTAACTTCTACGAAAGATAACAATTTAGTGTTATCAAATTTAATACGATTACTGATCAAAAGTCATTTATTTTCAATTTTCTCAATTTTCATTTCCAAGGTCGCATTCGTTCATCTCAATCCAAACAGTTGAACCAGTTGGACCAGAGTTGTTCATTTATGAAATAAGGTCACACTTCGTAATTTGATGGTGCTTTTTCAGGCGAGCCTTGACGAAGCCTTGCAAGGCCTTCATAAGCATTTGCAGATCCGCCAAGAATTATACCAGAAAATGTTACATTTAAAGACAGACAAACCGGTTGAACTGGATACGCAAAAAGGGCCCATATATCCCAAACAATTTTACTTGATGGCCTCTTGGTTCCTGTTTAATTGATAAAATATCTCTAACTCCTGGACTGGGTGCCTGACAGCTGTATCACATATAGATACAGTGGTACTGTAATGTTATTCCTGTTAGTGTATATAGGAAGCTTTACAATATCACAATTTTTTACCAACATGCCGAATGTTTATCCTTTTGCCACCATTCTTTTCTCATCCATGTAAAATACACCCACACAACTGTGGAATATCAGGAAACCGAACAATGAGTTAGGATTAGATATAGACTGGGTTGTGTTAGGATTAGATATAGACTGGGCTGTGTTAGGATTAGATATAGACTGGGCTGTGTTAGGATTAGATATAGACTGGGCTGTGTTAGGATTAGATATAGACTGTGTTGTGTTAGGATTAAATATAGACTGGGTTGTGTTAGGATTAGATATAGACTGGGCTGTGTTAGGATTAAATTTAGACTGTGTTGTGTTTGGATTAAATATAGACTTGGTTGTGTAAGGATTAGATATAGAGTGGGCTGTGTTAGGATTCGATATAGACTGGGCTGCGTTAGGATTAGATATAGACTGTGTTGGGTTAGGATTAAATATCGACTGGGTTGTGTTAGGAGTAAATATAGACTGGGTTGGGTAAGGATTAAATATAGACTGGGTTGTGTCAGGATTAAATATAGACTGGGTTGTGTTTTAGGATTAAATATAGACTGGGTTGTGTTAGGATTGAATATAGACTGGGTCGGTTATATTTACTCACCTGATACACTCCTGTTCCTGCCAGGAAGAAGATCTAGAGTACTGCCTGCAACACTTTCTTCATCAATATTTGTTTCACCAGACATTCCAGTAACGGGCATTGTAGTCGCATCCAGATCTGTAGAGAAATTATGGTTCATCAGTCATATTTGTAGAGATATCACAGTTCATCAGTCATATTTGTACAGAAATTACAGTTCATCAGTCATATTTGTACAGAAATTACTGTTCATCAGTCATATTTGTACATAAATTACAGTTTATCAGTCATATTTGTATAGAAATCACAGTTCATCAGTCATATTTGTACAGAAATTACAGTTCATCAGTCATATTTGTATAGACATTACAGTTCATCAGTTATATTTGTATAGAAATCACAGTTCATCAGTCATATTTGTACAGAAATTACAGTTCATCAGTCATATTTGTACAGACATTACAGTTCATCAGTCATATTTGTATAGAAATTACAGTTCATCAGTCATATTTGTATAGAAATTACAGTTCATCAGTTATATTTGTATAGAAATTACAGTTCATCAGTCATATTTGTATAGAAATTACAGTTCATCAGTCATATTTGTATAGAAATTACAGTTCATCAGTCATATTTGTATAGAAATTACAGTTCATCAGTCATATTTGTATAGAAATTACAGTTCATCAGTCATATTTGTATAGAAATTACAGTTCATCAGTCATATTTGTATAGAAATTACAGTTCATCAGTCATATTTGTATAGAAATTACAGTTCATCAGTCATATTTGTATAGAAATTACAGTTCATCAGTCATATTTGTATAGAAATTACAGTTCATCAGTCATATTTGTATAGAAATTACAGTTCATCAGTCATATTTGTATAGAAATTACAGTTCATCAGTCATATTTGTATAGAAATTACAGTTCATCAGTCATATTTGTATAGAAATTACAGTTCATCAGTCATATTTGTATAGAAATTACAGTTCATCAGTTATATTTGTATAGAAATTACAGTTCATCAGTTATATTTGTATAGAAATCACTGTTCATCAGTCATATTTGTATAGAAATTACAGTTCATCAGTTATATTTGTATAGAAATTACAGTTCATCAGTCATATTTGTATAGAAATTACAGTTCATCAGTCATATTTGTACAGAAATTACAGTTTATCAGTCATATTTGTATAGAAATCACAGTTCATCAGTCATATTTGTACAGAAATTACAGTTCATCAGTCATATTTGTACAGAAATTACAGTTCATCAGTCATATTTGTATAGAAATTACAGTTCATCAGTCATATTTGTATAGAAATTACAGTTCATCAGTCATATTTGTATAGAAATTACAGTTCATCAGTCATATTTGTATAGAAATTACAGTTCATCAGTCATATTTGTATAGAAATTACAGTTCATCAGTCATATTTGTATAGAAATTACAGTTCATCAGTTATATTTGTATAGAAATTACAGTTCATCAGTTATATTTGTATAGAAATCACAGTTCATCAGTCATATTTGTATAGAAATTACAGTTCATCAGTCATATTTGTATAGAAATTACAGTTCATCAGTCATATTTGTATAGAAATTACAGTTCATCAGTCATATTTGTATAGAAATTACAGTTCATCAGTTATATTTGTATAGAAATTACAGTTCATCAGTCATATTTGTATAGAAATTACAGTTCATCAGTCATATTTGTACAGAAATTACAGTTTATCAGTCATATTTGTATAGAAATCACAGTTCATCAGTCATATTTGTACAGAAATTACAGTTCATCAGTCATATTTGTACAGACATTACAATTCATCAGTCATATTTGTACAGAAATCACAGTTCATCAGTCATGTTTGTACACATACAGTGACCAGTGTGTCTACCAGTCTGGCCAGTGTGTGTCCGTCTGCACTGTGTCCAATATAACTACTAGTCCCTGTGTCCAGTATTTGGTAAGTGTGTCCAGGTACACAGTGTCCAGTGTGTCTACCAGTCTGGCCAGTGTGTGTCCGTCTGCACAGTGTCCAATGTAACTACCAGTCCCTGTGTCCAGTATGTGGTCAGTGTGTCCAGGTACACAGTGTCCAGTGTGTCTACCAGTCTGGCCAGTGTGTGTCCGTCTGCACGGTGTCCAACATAACTACCAGTCCCTGTGTCCAGTATGTGGTCAGTGTGTCCAGGTACAGTGTCCAGTGTGTCTACCAGTCTGGCCAGTGTGTGTCCGTCTGCACTGTGTCCAATGTAACTACCAGTTCCTGTGTCCAGTAAGTGGTCTGTGTGTCCACCTGTAGTATCTACCAGTTTTCTGTGTCCAGTATGTGGTCAGTGTTTCCATCTGTAGTATCTACCAGTTTATTGTGTTCAGTATTACCCCCACTCTGTGGTCAGTGTGTCCACCTGCACAGTGTCAGTGTATTATCTACCAGTCCATTTGTCTATTATGTCCACCAGTCTGTGGTCAGTGTGTCCACGTACCCAGTGTCCAGTGTGTCTACCAGTCCCTGTGTCTAACATGTCCACCAGTCTGTGGTCAGTGTGTCCACGTACACAGTGTCCAGTGTGTCTACCAGTCTGTGGTCAGTGTGTCCACGTACACAGTGTCCAGTGTGTCTACCAGTCTGTGGTCAGTGTGTCCACGTACACAGTGTCCAGTGGGTCTTCCAGTCTGTGGTCAGTGTGTCCACGTACACAGTGTCCAGTGTGTCTACCAGTCCCTGTGTCTAACATGTTAACATACCTTTATCCAGTTCCTTTTGATCTGGTTCATCATCCAACAAGTCTGTCTGCAGCTTGGCAAAATTAATGAACACCTAGCAAAATGAAGATAAGACTGTTTATCAATACAGTTACATAATGTTTAGAATGCAGTTGATGTGTGTGTGAATAAAATGGAGTACAGAGTCATCTTGCTATAAACACCTGGAATAATTCAAAAACCAGCATCATAGTAATCATGGTAATCATAGTAATCTTCCATCATTGGAAATCTCTATAGAGATTGTTGCGATGCCTCTTCTTTTTGCTTTATTCGCGTTAACTTTAAACGCCTAAACCCTACTTTTAGTTTGTTCCTACTCTTTGTTATACCTGTTCCCACGTATTGCAAAAACCTATAGTGTTCAGTTTGGACAGATTATGCTGCAACACTGGTGCAGGTCATGAAATGTCTACTTGATCAGTAACCCCCCAGTGGTCTGGGATAATTTACCTGGTCCATCGTAGTCTGGGATACAGAATAGTCCTCGACATTCAGCTCCTGTCTGACCTCCTCAATCTGTCGGAACAGGTTGGACAGTTTGACGTCACACTTGAGCTGGTACTGGACCATGTTGTAGTGTTTTTCCTTCAGTTCTGCCCCTGCGAACGTCTGCATGATGAAGTCGTGCACGCGTTTAAGATTAGGACGCTCTCCAGCCACACGGAAGATCACTGTGTATCCCTCTCCAAACCTGTACAGAGACAGCAGTTGCCAGTACAAAATGTCCTACACAGAAATTGCCCATAAGACACTGTTGTTTACATTATAGATTGTCGGATACAATTTCATTCTCCTAAATTCTGACACTGATTAGTAAGTTTACAGTTAAAACAAACAGGTGGGAATAAAGTAGTAAATTACCCTAAAAGCTGACTTTTATTTGCATTTAAAAAGTTCAAACTATTCAGGGAGGAAAGTTTTACATTGTCAATGCTGCTGAAATACCTATTTCATATTGTGTCAAACTGTTTATGTGTGCATATTTTATGCTGATTTGGTAAATACGAAATTCGCAAAAACAAATTCCACAGCCAGAAAACCGACCATTTTTACAGTAGGTAAGTGAGCTTACCTTACAGGTAAGGCTACACAGGCACAAAACTTACCTGTTTTTGAGATGCTGAGTACTGCCCATACACATAAACCTTCCATTGACCATGATTCCTAAGCGACTACACAGAGCCTCACACTCCTCCATACTGTAACACACAAAACACATACAAGTAATGACAGGAGGAATTTAACACAAATCATCAAATCTTATTCCTCCGATGTATTTATCAATGTGCAAGTATATTCCGGAAGCTTTCATAAATTTTGTTTCTTTGTTTGTAAATTATTTTTTTTTCTTAAATTTTTTACATTCGTATACAATACAGTTACAATATATACATAACATGACATAAAACAAAAATATATATAAAGACACACACACTCATTCATTATCATGAGTTCGTAATTTAATGTCCTTGAAACAGCCAAAGTCATATATGAGGAAGTGTGCTTCGGGAGACACCGCTGGAAAGGGAAAGTAGGTAGAAAAGAAAAAGACAAGAAAGATATGAAACGAAAAAGATCTCCAGGATTAATAGCAATGGGGGCAGCAGATCAATTTTGGTCTCTTCCAGGTCTTCTTCATAAAAGAGCAGAAAAAAACTCTGCAGGGGGGCCACATTAGTCGCCTCTTACGATCATGCAGTGGGCTAACAGCTCAGCAGGCCTTATGTTTCATCGAACCTGCACAGGTGATCCGTATAAAGATTGAAATTTATTATATATACAATAACATGTATGGAAATTAAGCTTACTTTATATAACATGATGGTTATATATAAGTTACGACCAATAGTTTGTATTACCTGTGTGAGGTTAGTATCACAGATCGGCCATCCTTTACAATGGCGTTAATACAATTCCACAAAAATCTCCGGGCCCGAGGATCCATGCCTGTTGTTGGTTCATCCTGAATAACAATTTTACATTGAATTATGCATGAAATAAATGTTGCAACATATTTACGTTAATAAAAATCCTATTACAAATAATGAGTTGTCCCATGGGAGAGATCTCAGGCCCTTACAAAAAATATAATGGAAAGGTTGTCAACGAGGGAGATTGTCGTGGGCAATTACCAGAAATATAATGGAGGGGTTGCCAAAGAGGGAGATTGTTGTGGGTGCTCACCAGAAATATAATGGAGGGGTTGTCAATGAGGGAGATTGTTGTTGGTACTCACCAGAAATATAATGGAGGGGTTGCCAATGAGAGAGATGGCTGTGGACAGCTTCCGCTTGTTTCCCCCGGAGTAACCTTCTGATAATTTGTCAGCATACTGTAACAGGTTCAGTTTCCTTATAGCCCACTCAGCAACCTGTAGAGGAAAATATTCATCTGGGTATCAATTCATCTGGGTATCATTTTGATGTGGTTTCAAGGTATGTACGTCTCCATACAATATGAAACTCAGTATTGCAATTTTTTTTCAGACATGAAATGACTTAATTCAGAAACAACAAAAGCCGGATAAAATACTGTAGGTGTATCATGACCTCCCAAAATTATTGTGTATCATATTGTATTCAAAATATTGCTATATATTGTCTCACAATATATCATTGCAGACCTATTGTATACAGTATCTGTGGCTACCAAATTACAGCTAGAAATCTGCATTGCAGAACAGTGTGCTAGTAACACTGATGTAAGTGGAGTGTGTTAGCACTATTACCTCTTTGATGTCCTTCTCAGGAATGCCACGGAGCCTAGCGTAAAATGACAGGATTTCTCTGCCCGTGAGTAGACTGTCGAAGGCGTCAAACTGTGGACAGTACCCAATACTCCTGTGTACACTGACCATGTCTGAGAGGATACTGAAGTCCAAAACACAAACATGAAATCACTGTAAAGATTGGTTAAGACTTCATCAACTTTCAAAAAGTTTGTTCATGGTTTTTATTTACGTCAATATTTAATAACTAAGGTACAAAGGTTTTACCTCTTTGCTTTCAATACATGATTAACAAAAGGCATTCATTCATTATGAAGATTTATTAAGCTTTGTCTTGTCAATAAAACAGAAAACTCTGTTTTGCCAATAACATTGTTGCCTGTTTGTTTTCTTCATAAGAATAAAATTATATTCAAAGAGTAAGATCAATAATAAACTTTGGGGGCTGCATAAAATAGTTGGCAGTGTGCCAGGCACTGGACCATAAGGTTGTATTTTGGATCCAGTTAACAGCAAAATGTGGTTGTGTCCCTTGGCAAGACATGTCTCTCCCTTTACTCAACTCTATCTGTGAAGAGTGGAGTAGAACATTGTCTGGGGTGGGTACTAGGGCTTCTGTGCTGTAGTACTCAAGTGGTATGTTGCTATAAATGAGGCATTTGAAACACTGGAAACACAGACCCATAACAAGCAGGACACCTATACAAACTCTATAGCAAACATACACAAGCACCTGCTCACATTATATGTAAATGTTAAGGGGATGACATGATAAGATGCGTTAGAGTGAGGCTGTTCCTACTCTCTCTTGATTGTGTTAACCCTTTAACCCCTAGGTAGCTTTAGTAGTCCCTACCATCCATTTATATGGATAAGTCCATCATGGTCTACAGTGGTGAAAGGGTTAAACACATATTTCTGTTATTTCCTGAATGAGTAATTTCCTTGAGATTAGGTCTTACCTGTGGCCATTGACATAGGCGTTGCCTTCTGAAACACTGACGTCACCAGTAAGCATCTTGAAGGTGGTAGTCTTGCCGGCCCCATTAACCCCCAAAAGTCCAAAGCACTGGCCCTTCGGGACCCCTACACAAAGACTATCCACAGCAGTGTTCCTGCCTTTCTTACCTCTTAGTCCATATACCTGTGGAAAAACGGGTGCAACTGTCACAAATTTACATCTTTTTTTAACATTATTTTTGCTTCATTACAAAAATTACATACATTTATTAACTTTTATTGACAAATTTCATATTAAACATTCAAGATTTTCAAGAGCAAAAAATACTAAAAATCAGGCATACAGTGGGCAAAAAGAGGTAGTTTCTCCTGTAAGAGTCATATGCACACATGTCATCCTTATGCTTTTTATTCTTAGACTTACTGTATGCTATACCTAGGTAATCCCTTGCTTTTTCATGCAGATGCCTTAAAAATACATTTATTATTTCTCTCCAGTGTGCAAGATATGTAGTCTTTTGTCAATCAAATTTGATACCTTTGTTAGTCCCGCTATTCTTAATACATCATCTGGATTTTTTTTCTCCATGATACGTTTCCTTTCTCGGGCAACATCAGGATCTTCATCCTCCAAGCTGGCATGAGTTGGCTTCCTCTGCCAGAAACACTTGATTCCTCGCTTGATACAGAAGTTATACTCAATGAGGATATTGAAAATGAAGAAAACTAGACCAACAATGAACAGAGCCAACAGATTCTTGCCGACTTGATCGAACTCAAATGGACTTGGTGGCCCACCAGAGGAGAACCCTACAACAATAAAATATCAAATAGTTATCACCTTTAATAGAGTTAAAGAACTTAATTACAATGTTGTTTTTAACAGATGCTTCACTGTACAGATGCTTCACTGTACAGAGGTTTTACTGTACAGAGGTTTCACTGTACATATGCTTCACTGTACAGAGGTTTCAGTGTACAGAGGTTTCACTGTTCATAGGTTTTATTGTACAGGGGTTTCACTGTACATATGCTTTACTGTACAGAGGTTCCACTGTACATATGCTTCACTGTACAGAGGTTTCACTGTACATGTGTTTCACTGTACAGAGGTTTCACTGTACAGATGTTTCACTGTACAGAGGTTTCACTGTACAGAGGTTTCACTGTACAGAGGTTTCATTGTACAGGGGTTTCACTGTACAGATACTTTACTGTACAGATGTTTCACTGTACAGAGGTTTCATTGTACAGGGGTTTCACTGTACAGATGCTTTACTGTACAGAGGTTTCACTGTACAGAGGTTTCAGTGTACACACAAGCCAAAGAGTCATGGCTAAGGAGGCTTCAGAGTATGTGCTAACCACAGAATCTTGGCTAATTAGTAGATTTCATTTCACTTCACGTCTAGCAGTCTACACTATTTTTTCATCTGAAATACAGGTATTGAATCCGCTTGTCTCTTTCAAGGCTTACAAAACTCTCAATGAATAGACTTACAAAACTTTCAATGAATAGACTTACAAAACTCTCAATGAATAGACTTACAAAACTCTCAATGAATAAACACACTCTCAATGAATCGACTCCTTTCAGCTTCTATCAAAGAGATCAAAGGTATGAAGATTTCTGTCAGTTCCCAGGTTAACCCTTTCACCCCCATGTAACTTAAGTAGACTCTTCCATGCATTGATATGGATGAGTCCATTATAGTCTACAGTGGTGAAAGGGTTAATTAACTTAAATCATTGGCTGGCTGACTCATACAGCACCTTCAATTTTGTCACGATATAAAACAAAAACGGAACCCTTGGATTTCAAAGACGGGTTTAGAAGACTTACCAAACTCTGCATTGGCCTCTGCGTATAGCTGGTTGGTGGACATATCCATAAGGCCTCGGCCCAGACAGTACTGGGGGAATATCAGGAACACTTTCTTCAGTAAGATGTTAATATTCTTCAACTCCTGTAGAAAAAAATAAAACAGCAAAATAAGGATGACCATCAGCATACAGCAGTGGTTTGAAACAGGACTGGTTGAAGATTTAACAAGAAGTACTGGGTACTTTTTAGTTGTGTATATACCCTTCATATTGACCATAAAAATATGTTCTCGACCTCTAAAGAAGTATTTTCACATTGCAGTGAAGATCATGAAAAGGATAAAGAACACTCAATCCAATGGTTATACATGTACATGTGTGTATGATGTTTCATCAAAAGATTTCAGGCATTCGGCAGAAACTGAGAAATAATGGCACTTGTACATAAACAAATTATTTTCTTTTTCATTTTACATTTGGTCAGATGAATTGAAAACCACAACAGGATATCATCAAATTTTCAATTTTCCACATACCTCATCGTCCCTTTCCAGGAATTCCAAGATGAAGGTTGCCATGGTCGAGGTGGTGCCAAGGAAGATGTTGATAGACTGTAGTGTTACCATGGCAGTGCTAGGAATACTGAATAATCGACTGAATGGGTGCATCACTGGGATCATAGCCCACCTATAAATAAAGGGAGATAACTTGTTTCGATACAGTTACCATGTTGGACAGATTTCTGCATAACATAATTACTAACACATTATATGATAGCTCTACTTTTTCACTGTGGAGTAAAATCATTTCAGTAGTCATTTTGTAAACACATGCAGTTCTGTTTTTGAAAACTGCCCAGTGATTAGACGAAATCATAAATTGATAACGTTCAACCAATCAAATATGATAATATTGACACTAGTATTGTTTGTCTTGAGAGACAACCAGTACTGACTGTGAGCACACAGCACACATACAAAGTCAATATTATTAACTAGAGAAAGTGGTAATACCAAGGTGAAGGGTTTATTTACAAACAGAAAAGTTGACTTGCTGATGGAGCGGTTTGCCCTCTCATTTATCTTAACAGGTTACTCACCCATAGAAAAAGAGAAGGGCTAGCAGACAGGGCCCATTCATAGGACCAACATAGGCTTCCCGTCCAAACGCAAGGAAGATGAACAACATCAGCACACAGGACACAAAGTAGCTCATCTGCAACACAACATTCAATTACACATTAATTTAAAATATTTTCAAGTTGAACTAGTTTTAGGGATTTTATTTTATTTCCATTTTTTAAAGACAATGAAATCTAATTATGTCATTTTGGTTGAAATTGATAGAAATACAGCTGAATAAAATGAAAAACAATACCTTTAGTTTACAATTGCAAAAAAAAAAATTATGACGAAACTCTCTTCCTACATTCGCAAGTTAACAGAATAAACGAATAAAAAAAATCTGGGTTATTGAATTTAAATGAAAGTGCCAGCAGATGTGAGACCTCTGAGGAGAGAAGTACTGACCATGTCCCAGGCAGTGTTGGATATCCAGTACACAGTTGGGTTCACTCCGCTCACAAACTGTAGATGTTTGGAGTTGGACGCGCGTTCCTCTATCAGTACCATGGTAAAGCTGGCCGGTATGAAGGACATGGCAAAGATCATACAGATGGCTATCACCAGGTCCACCCCACCAGCTCGCCTGTCACAAACAATATACTTCCTTAATGTTACACCAACACCCATGTACCACATCTATAACAACACTGGAGATCATATGAGAGACACTTGTGACAAAGTGATTTCTTACGAAATACCAAAAGGGTTAGCCAGATGTCTGTTTCTGGAAAAGTTGCCCTTTGGTGGTGGTAGTGTATAAAGCTTTTGGCATTTGATAAAAAAAAACTTCATTTACTTCTTTCCATCGTTGGCCATCTGCCTACCTAAGCTGATTTACACAGTATGAAAGGAGTAAAAGCAATCACATAGCAAATGTAACGACTGATTCTGAATCTGTATGACCTGTCTAGATAATAAAGTTTTTACTGGAAGAATAAAAGGCAGGTTGCTGGCACCTGAGTCACTTGCTGTGTATATGTAGTAGATACTTACAGTAGTTTGGCGGTGAGCTGAGGCCTGGTGTGTATATGTAGTAGATACTTAAAGTAGTTTGGCGGTGAGCTGAGACTTTGTGTGTATATGTAGTAGATACTTACAGCAGTTTGGCGGTGAACTGAGACTTGGTGAGTATATGTAGTAGATACTTACAGTAGTGTGGCGGTCAGCTGAGACTTGGTGTGTATATGTAATAGATACTTACAGTAGTTTGTTGGTTAGCTGAGACTTGGTGTATTCCACTGGGTGGTTGAAGGTGACGATGCCGTAGTCTGTCGGTTTTGAAATGTTGGGTGCCATGCTACGTAGAATCAGGTTGTTCATCACATTTGTATACGCAACAATGGCCGACCAGCCCTTGTTGTTGTACCACACCTACAGGTAAAATAACATCAATATGATGTAGTAGATACTTACAGTAGTTTGGTGGTGAGCTGAGACTTGGTGTGTATATGTAGAAGATACTTACAGTAGTTTGGCGGTGAACTGGGACTTGGTGTGTATATGTAGTAGATGCTTACAGTAGTTTGGCGGTGAGCTGAGGCCTGGTGTGTATATGTAGTAGATACTTCCAGTAGTTTGGCGGTGAGCTGAGACCTGGTGTGTATATGTAGAAGATACTTACAGTAGTTTGGCGGTGGACTGGGACTTGGTGTGTATATGTAGTAGATAGTTACAGTAGTGTGGCGGTGAGCTGAGACTTGGTGCGTATATGTAGGAGATACTTACAGTAGTTTGGCGGTGGGCTGAGACTTGGTGTGTATATGTAGTAGATGCTTACAGTAGTTTGGCGGTGAGCTGAGACTTTGTGTGTATATGTAGTAGATACTTACAGCAGTTTGGCGGTGAACTGAGACTTGGCGTGTATATGTAGTAGATACTTACAGTAGTGTGGCGGTGAGCTGAAACTTGGGGTGTATATGTAGTAGATACTTACAGTAGTGTGGCGGTCAGCTGAGACTTGGTGTGTATATGTAGGAGATACACACAGTAGTTTGGCGGTGAACTGAGACTTGGTGGGTATATGTAGTAGATACTTACAGTAGTGTGGCGGTGAACTGAGACTTGGTGTGGATATGTAGTAGATACTTACAGTAGTTCGGCGGTGAGCTGAGACTTGGTGTGTATATGTAATAGATACTTACAGTAGTTTGTTGGTGAGCTGAGACCTGGCGTGTATATGTAGTAGATACTTACAGCAGTTTGGCGGTGAACTGAGACTTGGTGTGTATATGTAGAAGATACTAACAGTAGTTTGACGGAGAACTGAGACTTGGTGTGTATATGTAGAAGATACTAACAGTAGTTTGACGGAGAACTGAGACTTGGTGTGTATATGTAGTAGTTACTTACAGTAGTTTGGCGGTGAGCTGAGGCCTGGTGTGTATATGTAGTAGATACTTCCAGTAGTTTGGCGGTGAGCTGAGACTTTGTGTGTATATGTAGTAGATACTTACGGTAGTTTGGCGGTGAGCTGAGACTTGGTGTGTATATGTAACAGATAATTACAGTAGAGTGGAGGTGAACTGAGACTTGGTGTGTATATATAGTAGATACTTACAGTAGTTTGGCTGTGAGCTGAAACCTGGTGTGTATATGTAGTAGATACTTACAGTAGTGTGGCGGTCAGCTGAGACTTGGTGTGTATATGTAGGAGATACTTACAGTAGTTTGGCGGTGAACAGAGACTTGGTGTGTATATGTAGTAGATGCTTACAGTAGTTTGGCGGTGAACTGAGACTTGGTGTGTATATGTAGTAGATACTAACAGTAGTGTGGCGGTGAGCTGAGACTTGGTGTGTATATGTAATAGATACTTACAGTAGTTTGTTGGTTAGCTGAGACTTGGTGTATTCCACTGGGTGGTTGAAGGTGACGATGCCGTAGTCTGTCGGTTTTGAAATGTTGGGTGCCATGCTACGTAGAATCAGGTTGTTCATCACATTTGTATACGCAACAATGGCCGCCCAGCCCTTGTTGTTGTACCACACCTACAGGTAAAATAACATCAATATGACTACAGGTGAATTTGGTCTGCCTCAGCCTGAATACACAGGTAAACAGTGCCAACCTAACTACAGGTAAACTTAGGTTGTTTTTAATTTGACTGCAGGTAAAACAAGTCTGCCTCAATCTGACATCAGGTAAACTTAGTGTAATCTGAATCGAGTAACTTAGTTTGCCTAAATCTGACTACAGGTAAACCTACTGAAAATCTGACTACAAGTCAACCTAGTGTCAGTCTGACTACAGGTAAACTTAGTGTCAGTCTGACTACAGGTAAACCTAGTGTCAATCTGACTACAGGTAAACCTAGTGTCAATCTGACTACAGGTAAACCTAGTGTCAATCTGACTACAGGTAAACCTAGTCTGTCTCAATTTGACAACAGGAAAACTTAGGTTGTCTTAAATCTTACTACAGATAAGCGAGTAAAATTTCAGCAAAAATACATAGAACATGCAAAATAAATGCAGAAGTGTAAAGTATTTGACACCAGTGTTCAGCCGTACCTTGTTAACGTCGCTAGAGAAGAGGTCGCGGACCCAGTCCCAATCTGGTGAGGTAGTGTTTAGAACCTGAGAGGCATTCTGTAGGGCCTTCTGTAGTTCCACAGCCTCAGGCTCTACATCTCCAAAGGAAAACCCACCGTACCTGTGGCAATAGTTAACATATCAATTAATAGTGGACATCTCTACACATGTTTTTACACCTGTCTATTGTGGCCAACCCTAGTTTTCATACCTGTCTAGCTAATGCAGTCAGCATATGGCAGTCGTCATTACACTTACAAATGTTTACAGCAGTCGACCTGGTATTTACATCTGACATTTATACCTGTTTAGTTATGGTAATGATCTACACATTTTTAAATAAAATTGGACATCTTTATATTTACAACTGTTTTTATTTTGTCGATGCTGTATATATGCTATAGTATTTTTCCACTACCCAGTTTGTCTTTTCTATATGTCTATTGTTCTGTCTCCAGCAATCGCTTCTAACTCTTCATCAGTCATACTCGCGTTTATGACTCACGATGACTATGGTTAAGTATTGATAAATAATAATAATATTAAATTTGAGTTTTCACACTATTCTTTAAACCACAAGTCACATACGAAAAATAGGTATCCAAAATCTGTTATCATAAAAATACTTGTCTGACTTACAGGAAGTTTATAACTACATTGTATTATCTTTTACAGGAATGCAGGTGCTTTGTTACCATACCTTTTCAAAAATATGACATTTTTAAACCTTTATTTCATATTTAAAGCATTACAAAGATAGGTTGATCCCAGCTCTGATCTGTTGAGGAAGACTTACCTTCTCTTTAAGTAACGTTTGTGAGTTCTGAGAATCCATTCACTAATGTTACGGGTCGTCATGTTGTACAGCGTATCAGTGGTGGGAAGGTTGACAAAGGATGGCTCTGGACCTCCAGCACCTGTAGGAGGGGAAAATGTAACTCTCATTTTTAAAACATAAAAGTGTCTATTTAACATCTTCATATTTGTGCATGCTGACTTTGCAGGCTGTCTTTGGTTCAGAAATTTGAACATTACCATGTTGCTGAATGTATATTTTATTATTTACAGGGTGTGAATACATTTGCCTACTTTACAGTAATGTTGTAAGCATATAATTTCTTACAGAACAATAATTCTCACTCAAACAAAAACAGGAATTACAATTATTAAGTGTGGGGCTGAATGTGTTCATAAACAGTAACCAACTCATGAAATGTTGAACATGTATTAGTAATGTTGAGAGGACAGGGAATGATGGGACACCATTGGAAGGCAGGGAATGATAAGATAGTGTTATATTTAAGAGACAGGGAACGTGGTTGCGATTTCAATTTCTGCCGACAGCTTAGAAGATGGAGGTACTCACCATCAGGACATCTCTGCCAGCCAGAGTCACAGGAACACTGGGGGTTGTTTCTCCCTGCCACAGCAGCTGAGGACCATTGCCTGATAGCCTTACTTCTCCAGTCACCTTCACAGGGAAATTCACTGCAAATGTCATAACATCAGGAGTTACATATACATTTAAATTTTACCCACCAAGGACATTGACCAACACAAGGTCCACTGTTACCTTTTTTGTATAATATCAATGAACGACATGGTCTGACACCATAACTCACCTAACAGGGTCTCACATATACATACATTAAAATTTTACTACTTTGATTAAAAGAAACTTACGATATGGAATGTATAGAGGGATTCATGCATCTGTTGCCGACACAAGGATTTTTCACAAGCATTTCAAGGTTCTTCTCTCCTTTTGAGCTGGGACCGTCCATACTGCAGGATATGAAATAGCATATAAGTAAAACAAAACAAACTCCAAAGGGATAAAAAAAAAATGACAATTAAGAGGTACATTTCACATAACCTTTTACATGTGTATCATTTAATTAGGAAATATGTGTAGAAACATGCATTAACAGTAAGCAGTAGGGCACCAGGTAGGGTGCAACATGATGCAGAATTTGAGTCCAGTAATTAGGGTACTATGCCTATATTTGGTATATCTATCACAATAAGTTTGCTGCTATAACTTCAGAAGTGGAGGGTATACCTGTAGAACATGTACAGTTTCTTATCACCCAGTTTGGGGATATAGTGCCAGGGGTGCAGCTCCAGGGCAGGCTCCTCAGTCAGGGGTGGGGATATCTCCGCAAATATCATAGCCAACAACACAAATATGGCAGGAAGCACAATCTATAAACAAGAACAAAACAACTTATTATTTCATACCTCAATGGAGTCATTAGAACCAACACAAAACATCAACTTCTCATCATAACCACAAGTGTTATTCAGCCCCTGTATCTTTAGCCTTTGTTTGCTGCTGTAAGCAGTGGCTATGATTGTAAGCTACTTTCATTTTCTTCCTATTCTTCCATATATCTTTTTTCTCTCACTTTTACAAGGGAGAATGGGATCAACGTCCGCTAGAGGTATGTTCAGTGAAGGTCAGCTTACCTCAGTTGATGGATTCCTTAATGGAATACACTCGTCTGGACGTAAGAGTAGTCAAGATTCAAAAGACTTCAATTTTGACAAAAACTATGTACAATGGTCCCCAATGACCTAGACTTTCCTTTGATACTAGCTATGTACCTATTATATACTATGTACCTATTATATAACAGGGTTTGATCTTGTATGACCTTGACCTTCCCTTGATACTAACTATGTACCTATTATATACTATGTACCTATTATATACTATGTACCTATTATATAACAGGGTTTGATCTTGTATGACCTTGACCTTCCCTTGATACTAACTATGTACCTATTATATACTATGTACCTATTATATACTATGTACCTATTATATAACAGGGTTTGATCTTGTATGACCTTGACCTTCCCTTGATACTAACTATGTACCTATTATATACTATGTACCTATTATATACTATGTACCTATTATATAACAGGGTTTGATCTTGTATGACCTTGACCTTCCCTTGATACTAACTATGTACCTATTATATACTATGTACCTATTATATACTATGTACCTATTATATAACAGGGTTTGATCTTGTATGACCTTGACCTTCCCTTGATACTAACTATGTACCTATTATATACTATGTACCTATTATATACTATGTACCTATTATATAACAGGGTTTGATCTTGTATGACCTTGACCTTCCCTTGATACTAACTATGTACCTATTATATACTATGTACCTATTATATACTATGTACCTATTATATAACAGGGTTTGATCTTGTATGACCTTGACCTTCCCTTGATGTATTACTGTTTCCGAATGACCTTCAGTCATCCTTGCTCACCTCACAAAGAAATCCCTTCTTACTCCTCCGCACACGATGGAATCTCTTGAGGAACAGAGCGATGAACTGGCGAACAATTAGCCATTTGCCAACAATTCTTGACATCTGTTTATGGTTGAAGCCAGCATCATCGCCTTTCTCTGTCACTGCCTCAGACACTACCGACTCTGTGGAGGATACAGGTTTAAACTAATACTGATAAATGTTTCTTAACGAGAGGCCTCATTCTTGTTCACGTAATATTTCAGAGGATATCATAACTTGTCAAGTTATACTACAGTTCTCCTTATTCTTTTTTTGTGCTTGTTATTTAGTCGTGTTTTACATGCTAATAAAATGCGATTTTGGAACAATTACACAGTAAAACTGCCACCATTTGTCCAGAGATAGTTTGGCATTCAAGGGGTTTGGCGATAAATTGAGGAAATGTTTAAAGGAATTCTTAAGAAAACTAGAAAAAAAGGTTGGCAGTAAACGAGGTGGCAAATGAAATGAGGAGCATTATATCAAAGTTTTACTGTATTCTAAATCAATGTAGTTATCACAATTTACTATTTTGTTGAAAATGTTTCATTTTCCTATTCATGCAAGAAATGTAAAACCTTTACAAAAGAATAAAATGTATGCTACACTTGTGTGTGGTCATCTTGTTATGTTATTTCATGTACAATGAGCATGTTATCAAAATTGGATGTCAATTCATATACATATGTAAAAGATATTGTATACTGGGAAATGTTTACAATAGTTTAACTTTCCCCTTTTTTCGCCCTCCATTACTAGTCAAGAACAAACCATACATAGTAATTAAAAGTCAAGGACGAAATTAGCACTAAGCAAATGCTGATTTTACCGGTGAAGGATGAATATTTGACAAAATTTGGGCAAAATCTCACGATATACAGTAACTAAACTCTCACTGTAATTTCTGTGTTAAAGAAAATATTCTGGTGGCAGGTTCAATACAACATCTGGAAATCCTAGTCACCCAAGAAATAGCCTTATGGGCACCAATCTTTTAAGGGTTATTCAAAACCTAGTTTATTTACAACCTTTAAATCCAACCAATCACACTGACTGAAATCAGTATGATGAAAGAGTTATATAAATATGAAAGAAAGATCAAATCAAATATGTAAGAAAACAATTTAGTGTTTTAACACATGACAAGAATGATTCCTTTTTTTTGCATTCATTGAAAGGAACAGATATCAACACAATCACAAAGATGGAAAATAAAAAGATGGAGGACAAAAGATGGAGGACAAAAGATGGAGGACAACAAATATGAGGAGCAATAATTGCAACATTCAAGGTCGATCCTTGAAATAAAAGTCTTCCCCGAAAAAAACCATGCTGGTGTTAAATAAAGAATACTGCTGGAACCATTCTCATGTCTTAGCTATATACACTAAACTTAGCTATATACACTAAAACATACAGTCCGTATCATTACATAATTATACAAAAATCTGTGTAATTTCTTGCAAAATGTAAATACTAGCAACATTCACAAGCATTCAGCATAACCTGGACAATCACACTGTTTACTTTACCTCCTGATTGCAATTTTCCAACTGCAAAACTGACTAAAACAATTCAAATTCAAAGAAATAACATATATATTTTTAAAGATGATCATAACTTTTGTTTTATCTAACAAAATAAATCAGACACTTATCAATGTCATGTCCTTCAATGAAAGCTCTTTGAAATTGTCTATAAAAGTTTTCATAATTAAAAAATCTGTAAGAAATGAATATCCCCTGCCACTGAAGTCGGTAAAATGATGACAATGAAGCTATTGACAAAATGGCAATAGTTGACTTTTAAATAGCAACACATTGACCTTGGGGATAAGATTTTCAGTTATCTGTTAGATACCCCCAAAGTCAAATTTCTTGACAAATTCTCGGTCAAACTTGACGGATACCCAGAGATACTAACTAGACAGATGTTACACAGTCTAACTGGACAGATACCCAGAGACACTTACTAAACAGATGTTACACAGTCTAACTGGACAGATACCAAGAGACATTTACTAGACAGATGTTACACAGACTAACTGGACAGATACCCAGAGATACTAACTAGACAGATGTTACACAGTCTAACTGGACAGATACCCAGAGACACTTACTAGACAGATGTTACACAGACTAACTGGACAGATACCCAGAGATACTTACTAGACAGATGTTACACAGTCTAACTGGACAGATACCCAGAGACACTTACTAGACAGATGTTACACAGTCTAACTGGACAGATACCCAGAGACACTTACTAGACAGATGTTACACAGTCTAACTGGACAGATACCCAGAGACACTTACTAGACAGATGTTACACAGTCTAACTGGACAGATACCCAGAGACACTTACTAGACAGATGTTACACAGTCTAACTGGACAGATACCCAGAGACACTTACTAGACAGATGTTACACAGTCTAACTGGACAGATACCCAGAGACACTTACTAGACAGATGTTACACAGTCTAACTGGACAGATACCCAGAGACACTTACTAGACAGATGTTACACAGTCTAACTGGACAGATACCCAGAGACACTTACTAGACAGATGTTACACAGTCTAACTGGACAGATACCCAGAGACACTTACTAGACAGATGTTACACAGTCTAACTGGACAGATACCCAGAGACACTTACTAGACAGATGTTACACAGACTAACTGGACAGATACCCAGAGATACTTACTAGACAGATGTTACACAGTCTAACTGGACAGATACCCAGAGACACTTACTAGACAGATGTTACACAGTCTAACTGGACAGATACCCAGAGACACTTACTAGACAGATGTTACACAGTCTAACTGGACAGATACCCAGAGACACTTACTAGACAGATGTTACACAGTCTAACTGGACAGATACCCAGAGACACTTACTAGACAGATGTTACACAGTCTAACTGGACAGATACCCAGAGACACTTACTAGACAGATGTTACACAGTCTAACTGGACAGATACCCAGAGACACTTACTAGACAGATGTTACACAGTCTAACTGGACAGATACCCAGAGACACTTACTAGACAGATGTTACACAGTCTAACTGGACAGATACCCAGAGACACTTACTAGACAGATGTTACACAGTCTAACTGGACAGATACCCAGAGACACTTACTAGACAGATGTTACACAGTCTAACTGGACAGATACCCAGAGACACTTACTAGACAGATGTTACACAGACTAACTGGACAGATACCCAGAGATACTTACTAGACAGATGTTACACAGTCTAACTGGACAGATACCCAGAGACACTTACTAGACAGATGTTACACAGTCTAACTGGACAGATACCCAGAGACACTTACTAGACAGATGTTACACAGTCTAACTGGACAGATACCCAGAGACACTTACTAGACAGATGTTACACAGTCTAACTGGACAGATACCCAGAGACACTTACTAGACAGATGTTACACAGTCTAACTGGACAGATACCCAGAGACACTTACTAGACAGATGTTACACAGTCTAACTGGACAGATACCCAGAGACACTTACTAGACAGATGTTACACAGTCTAACTGGACAGATACCCAGAGACACTTACTAGACAGATGTTACACAGTCTAACTGGACAGATACCCAGAGACACTTACTAGACAGATGTTACACAGTCTAACTGGACAGATACCCAGAGACACTTACTAGACAGATGTTACACAGTCTAACTGGACAGATACCCAGAGACACTTACTAGACAGATGTTACACAGACTAACTGGACAGATACCCAGAGATACTTACTAGACAGATGTTACACAGTCTAACTGGACAGATACCCAGAGACACTTACTAGACAGATGTTACACAGTCTAACTGGACAGATACCCAGAGACACTTACTAGACAGATGTTACACAGTCTAACTGGACAGATACCCAGAGACACTTACTAGACAGATGTTACACAGTCTAACTGGACAGATACCCAGAGACACTTACTAGACAGATGTTACACAGTCTAACTGGACAGATACCCAGAGACACTTACTAGACAGATGTTACACAGTCTAACTGGACAGATACCCAGAGACACTTACTAGACAGATGTTACACAGTCTAACTGGACAGATACCCAGAGACACTTACTAGACAGATGTTACACAGTCTAACTGGACAGATACCCAGAGACACTTACTAGACAGATGTTACACAGTCTAACTGGACAGATACCCAGAGACACTTACTAGACAGATGTTACACAGTCTAACTGGACAGATACCCAGAGACACTTACTAGACAGATGTTACACAGACTAACTGGACAGATACCCAGAGACACTTACTAGACAGATGTTACACAGACTAACTGGACAGATACCCAGAGATACTTACTAGACAGATGTTACACAGTCTAACTGGACAGATACCCAGAGACACTTACTAGACAGATGTTACACGGACTAACTGGTCAGATACCCAGAGACACTTACTAGACAGAAGTTACACAGACTAACCGGACAGATACCCAGAGACACTTACTAGACAGATGTTACACAGACTAACTGGACAGATACCCCGAGATACTAACTAGAGAGATGTTACACAGTCTAACTGGACAGATACCCAGAGACTCTTACTAGACAGATGTTATACAGACTAACTGGACAGATACCCAGAGACACTTACTAGACAGATGTTACACGGACTAACTGGACAGATACCCAGAGACACTTATTTCACAGATGTTACACAGACTAACTGGACAGATACCCAGAGATACTTACTAGACAGATGTTACACAGACTAACTGGACAGATACCCAGAGATACTAACTAGACAGATGTTACACAGACTAACTGGACAGATACCCAGAGATACTAACTAGACAGATGTTACACAGACTAACTGGACAGATACCCAGAGATACTAACTAGACAGATGTTACACAGACTAACTGGACAGATACCCAGAGATACTAACTAGACAGATGTTACACAGACTAACTGGACAGATACCCAGAGATACTAACTAGACAGATGTTACACAGACTAACTGGACAGATACCCAGAGATACTAACTAGACAGATGTTACACAGACTAACTGGACAGATACCCAGAGATACTAACTAGACAGATGTTACACAGACTAACTGGACAGATACCCAGAGATACTAACTAGACAGATGTTACACAGACTAACTGGACAGATACCCAGAGATACTAACTAGACAGATGTTATACAGACTAACTGGACAGATACCCAGAGATACTAACTAGACAGATGTTACACAGACTAACTGGACAGATACCCAGAGACACTTCCTAGACAGATGTTACACAGACTAACTGGACAGATACCCAGAGATACTAACTAGACAGATGTTACACAGACTAACTGGACAGATACCCAGAGACACTAACTAGACAGATGGTACATGGACTAACTGGACAGATACCCAGAGATACTAACTAGACAGATGTTACACAGACTAACCGGACAGATACCCAGAGACACTAACTAGACAGATGGTACATGGACCAACTGGACAGATACCCACTAGAGTCTACATGGACCTTGGTCAATGACTCACCTGTATCAGCCAACAGATCATCAGTGTCCACCTTAGCCTTTCCACGTTTTGATGCTTGAGCCAAAGTTTTGAGGAATGATTTCTTCTTCTTCCTGAAGCTCAGCCGTGTAACAGATTTAGCAATTCGTCCATCTGAATAAAATAATATTGTTCGTTTTGTTTAATAATCAGATGAATAAACAAGATGTTTAAGATACCTTGTATAATTTCAACAAAGAACTTTATTAATGCTCTACAGTAAAGGGAAATTATTTCAAAAATTTAAGGTCATTTTATTTTCTCAATCCTGCACTCTTTAACAGACTTTTCTATATCAATACTCCTCATTATTGTATGTTACCTCCTCCTGTTTGTAATTTATTTTCCTTCATCTCATACTCTTTACACATTAAAACTTTTCCACACCAATCCTTCCCTATTACTTACTGTCACTTGTCTCCTCCTGTTTGTTTCTCAACAACTCATCATCCAGTTCCTCATCTTTTGAATGTTCCTCTGTGACTTTCAGGAAAACCTGTGATTTAAATTTCATTTTAATAATTTCATAAAACATACACCAATCATAGACAATGAGACTTCCCTTATGCATTTCCCTTTATCGCTAAACCCCTTTATGATGCCAAATTTTGGCTAAACAAAGGGTAGCAGTTAACGAGGTTATAGAGGCTTGTATCTGAGAAGACCTACCGCATAAGACTTGTATCTGAGAAGACCTACCTCTTCAAGACTTATATCTGAGAGGACCTACCTCTTCAAGGCGTGTATCTGAGAAGACCTACCGCATAAGACTTATATCTGAGAGGACCTACCTCTTCAAGGCTTGTATCTGAGAAGACCTACCTCTTCAAGACTTGTATCTGAGAAGACCTACCTCTTTAAGACTTGTACCTGAGAAGACCTACCTCTTTAAGACTTGAATCTGAGAAGACCTACCTCTACAAGACTTCAAACCTGAGAAGACCTACCTCTTTAAGACTTGAATCTGAGAAGACCTTCCTTTACAAGACTTGTACCTGAGAAGACCTACCTCTTCAAGGCTTGTATCTGAGAAGACCTACCTCTTTAAGACTTGAATCTGAGAAGACCTACCTCTACAAGACTTGAACCTGAGAAGACCTACCTCTTTAAGACTTGAATCTGAGAAGACCTTCCTCTACAAGACTTGTAACTGGACAGATACCCAGAGACACTTACTAGACATATGTTACACAGACTAACTGGACAGATACCTGAGAAGACCTACCTCTTTAAGACTTGAATCTGAAAAGACCTTCCTCTACAAGACTTGTACCTGAGAAGACCTACCTCTTCGAGACTTGTATCTGAGAAGACCTACCTCTTCAAGACTTGTATCTGAGAAGACATACCTCTTAAAGACTTGTACCTGAGAAGACATACCTCTTCAAGACTTGAATCTGAGAAGACCTACCTCTTCAAGACTTGTATCTGAGATGCCGAAGCTGGAGATGCCGAGGTCCTTGTGACATTTTTCCAGACCGAGGAAAAGTTTGTGGAACTTTCCTTCCTGCGCTGCCTGGTCGGGGAGTTGGAAGGTCAGTTCAGCATTGTTATCCTCTACTAGACAGGCTTGAGGCACGTACTTCCTTACAAATGCTGACACTCGCTCCACACTAAATCCTGTAATCAAATTGAGAAATTAATGATGGAAAAGTTATATAAAACAATATCATATTATTATTCTTAAGATACAATGTACCAACATTTTGTCAAAGTCTAACTAATAACAATTTTCAAACTTAAATGATAATCTGTGAAAAATAATTATCATGGAAAGAAGTAATCAATGTCTCCACCAGTCAGAGGCCATGATGTGTATGGCCACTTTGGATTCTGAATTTAACTAGAAAAATATAACACTTGTTCAGGACCGTAACAGGATTATTAACACCTTGATAGGTTAAAATTTGATTTGCGCTTTCGGAGAAGAAGCTGTAACAGCCAAGAAGTTACAGATAAAAATTGAAGTATGTATGGCTAGCTCACTTGGTACTTTTAGCCAGGGGACCTAATCCTCCATGGGAAGCACAAACAAGCTACTACAAAAAATGTATCTTCTAAACGGCAGTCAATGAAGATTCTGATAATTAAATTACAGAGATTTGCAGAAAAAATTGAATTCTTTTCAATGTCAGGATCCCGAGCTGTCCAGTAAATTACGTATGTTTAACTTACCTGGGATCATGGTAGCTGACTCAGGAGGTGGAGTAGGGGGGTCGCTGTCACTTCTCTCTGTATTACTATCAGCATAACCTTCATCCAGTGTATCTGATAGCGATGGCTGTGGACAGAACACAACATACAAATATAAAACTCATTTATGATATGTAACACACTGAGGTAATTATGGCTAGGGATCGAACCCAGAACTGCTAGTGTACTAGTCTGACACTCTACCCATTGAGCTAATGAGTAATTCTACCTAGCCATGTTGGTAGGAAGCGGTTAATGATTTACCAGGGCCACACACTTTTTTTCAAAGAACAACTTGTCCTGAGTGTATCCAGGGGTAACAGCGATACTTGTGAAAGCAAGATTGGGTACTTCTGTCAATACTTCTCGGATCTATAGGTGGGCACGTGCACCGATATAGGAGAGGTAATTTTAATTTCAATGCCTCTGCCAGGGATCGAATGCAAGACCTCCGGTTTACTAGTCTGATACTCTAATGAATAGGTTAAAGAATAATTCTTCCTAACCAAGTGGGTAGGAAGCAGCTAGTATTTCTCCAGGGCACATGACAGATATAAAAAGCAATTTTTGTTTACACCAAAAAAAGTTCAATTTAAAAATCAATATATACCTCGACTTGTTTGATGGTCCTGGTACTGTTGCCTGATCGGACACTCCCGGCAGACATGGGCCTCTCTTCTAGCTGGAAGCTGTTCAACATGTCATACTTTCCGGCCGATTTGATCACTTCCTTTTTCACCTCTACACTGTCAATATAGTCATCTTCATCCCTGTCTTCCCCATTGGACTGGACCATTGTCAGATAGTAGCCGCTACCGTAGAGAGACTTGAGGAAGAGGCTGGAGCCACAACAGCAGAGCTTGCCCTGTGAGATGATCGCTATCCTGTCTCCGAGGATGTCGGCTTCATCCATGTGGTGAGTTGACAGCAGGATTGTACGGTCTACATGACAGGATATTATAATATTATATAGTGTATAAGACTTAAATAATTTGATATATAGCACTTATATTTATGAATGTTTTCAGATTCAGAAGATTGCAGGCTAATTAATATCAGTATGAATTATTTCAGATAGCATCCAATACATCGTTGTCTGAATACAACTTCAGTTTACATGAACAGGCAACTAAACTTCTATGTATATGTAAACATCCGTTAATTCTGTTATCAGTGCCATCATACAATGCACAACACTATATAACATGAACAGTGAGAGATGTGCACTCTCCTTACTGTTTCACTGACTTGTCATAAATATTTGTTGGATTTAAGAACTTGTCACCTCCTCGGTTACTGTGATCACAAACACAACAGGCACTATACTGTATTCTACATGATTCTTCTTTTAGTACAATCAAATAAAACAGACAGAAAACATATCTGTTTCAATGATGAAGTCAAAAAGTATTAGAACTTAAGCTAAGCTTGTATAGAAATTGTCTGAGGAATGTTGAAAGATGAGTTCAATTAGAATTAGGTCAAGATGATATTTCACATTGGAATTTCTGAATAATCCTATGAACTAGCTACTAGTAAACTATCTACTAGGCAGAGTTCATACTTACTTTTCTTGACCTTGAAGAGGAGTTCCCAGATAGACCGTCTGGCGTAAGGATCAACACCAGCCGTCGGCTCGTCCAGGATCACAGTCTTGGAATTTCCACAGAAAGCGATAGCCACAGAGAGCTTCCTCTTCATACCACCTTTAAAAAAAAAATGATAAATCATGTCAAAAACAAACAGAAAATATTCAAACTGTTACATTTTAAAAGAAATCATTGTGATTTTAAATCATAAACTACTAAGTTGTGTTTTGTGATTCTACATCAGCAACAAACTACTCTGCAGATATTTGAATTAAAACCTGAAGGAAACCATATTCTCTGATACGAGGAAATACCAACACGTCCTCGTTAAATAACACACCTGATAAGCTGCTGGAGAGCTCCTTGCGTTTGTGTGGCAGACCTACATCCTTAATCATCTGTTCCATCTCCCTCTCAACCTTTTTAGGGCTCAGCCCTCGCATCCGTGCAAAGAACCACAGGTGTTCTTCAACTGTTAAACTGTTAAAAAGAAGTATTTAATTTGTTTATAGGATAAAAGATTTCCTTTCAATGTAACTAACCCATTATTTAGTATACATAGATACCTAATCTCCCTCCAGCCAAAATTAGGGACAAAAAAATCGCCAAAGATTTCTAGGATAAGCCGACACATTTCCAAATGTGTCTTTGAACACTGGAACTGACAAAAGTAAATTAAACATGTTCTGTGTACATATACAAATTCCAGTCAATATGGTTACCAGGTAAATAACACCAGAAGTTTGTCAATGCTTGGTTACTCTTCCCCAACCCCATCCCCTTATCCAACAACCATCTTATTTGCATAATTAATATATCAGTAAAGATTCAAGTTTCAGGATCATTCAATCAGCAATAAGGCATTCACTGTCACAGTATTACTGACCGCCTAACCCCAACCATCAATGACCTGGATACCTATTCTGACAGGATATCTTAGTAACCTAGAACCCAGGCTAACCCCAACCACCAATGACCTGGATACCTATTCTGACAGGATATCTTAGTAATCTAGAACCCAGGCTAACCCAAACTCCAAATATCCTGGAAACCTGTTTCAATCAGTTTATCAGCTTAGGTCCCACTGTGATTGAACCTGTGTAAGACGCATGCGACTATTCTGAACAATGTGGACAGTTTAGATGGATTCTTTGTAAAATGACTTACTGGTCAAACAGGACGTTATGTTGGGGACACATGCCTATACTCTGTCTGATCTCGTCTATGTCCGTCCTGATATCCTTCCCATAGATGAAGGCAGTTCCTTCGGTCGGAGGGAAAAGACCCGTCAAAATAGACCTGTGGAAACAAATTATATATATATTGTCATCAAATTCCTATGATAACACAAAGGAGTGTTTGTTTCCTATAATGAGCAAAGGAATATGATATGCTGTGAGTAAATAAATGCAGATTAATGTATAAAACCTGTAGTTGACTATGTTATGGGAAATTATTTCACACTTTAAGTCAACCATTGTTTGTCCAATCTGTTCTAAGCGAAATTCCTTGGATCAAAAGCTGAAGCTACCCTTGTTAAGTACCTATAAAAGTCACTTCTTGTGGGTCAATAACATTGATTCTGTCCAAGGCTAAAATTGATATCTTCCAAATGGATACCTAGAATTTGAAATCTGATATCCTATAAAATAATCTGATTTTCAGCATTTAATGCCAATTACAAATTATTATCAATGGATACACATATGCATCTTGATTTTCCCTCTTCAAAAAATATCTGTTGATATAATTTTAAAATTCCTATAAGAACATTGATTTATGATAGACTATGAGAGTAAATAATAGATTAGAGAAAAATTAACACCAATTGCTGGAAATCAGAAGTAAGTATCCTAGTGGGATATCTAGAAACCTTGTGTACAGAAATTGGTATCCCAGTGGGATATCTAGAAACCTTGTGTACAGAAATTGGTATCCCAGTGGGATATCTAGAAACCTCGTGTACAGAAGTTGGTATCCCAGTGGAATATCTAGAAAGCTTGTGTACAGAAGTTGGTATCCCAGTGGAATATCTAGAAGCCTTGTGTACAGAAGTTGGTATCCCAGTGGAATATCTAGAAACCTTGTGTACAGAAATTGGTATCCCAGTGGGATATCTAGAAACCTCGTGTACAGAAGTTGGTATCCCAGTGGAATATCTGGAAACCTTGTGTACAGAAGTTGGTATCCCAGGGGAATATCTAGAAACCTTGTGTACAGAAGTTGGTATCCCAGGGGAATATCTAGAAACCTTGTGTACAGAAGTTGGTATCCCAGGGGAATATCTAGAAACCTTGTGTACAGAAGTTGGTATCCCAGTGGAATATCTGGAAACCTTGTGTACAGAAGTTGGTATCCCAGTGCAATATCTAGAAACCTTGTGTACAGAAGTTGGTATCCCAGTGGAATATCTAGAAAGCTTGTGTACAGAAGTTGGTATCCCAGTGGAATATCTGGAAACCTTGTGTACAGAAGTTGGTATCCCAGTGGGATATCTAGAAACCTTGCGTACTGAAATCCCATTAATTACTACTGTGTCACTGTGAAGACTTACATGGTGGTTGTCTTTCCTGCACCATTATGGCCGAGGAAGGAGGTGATCTGACCCTCGTAGAAGTTCATGGTCAGTCCATCCACAGCGACCTTCTTGCCTTGGGCGTAAACCTTCTTGAGCTTCCGTATGGCCACGCCGAGACGTCGGTGGGTGGGCTCCTTCTCCATAGTTCGTACAGCTACAAAACAGTTAAACAATGATTGTGATCTTTTTAAATATATATATATATATATATTGACATTAAACATGGATTACGGTGAATGTAAACACAGGAAAAACAATTATCAATATTGCAACACTGAGGCTACTATTGATTTGGAATATTTTTTGAAGGAACGGAATTAAACGCGAATAATATCTTTGAATTTTCAACCTAGATTTTTTCACAATTCCTGTGTCAAGAAAATTAGATAAAGTCTGATTTTTCTCTTATTTGAAAAAAAAAATGAAAAAAAAGTTCTGCTGGAAATTTTCAGCATTTTAATTTAATTTTACAGAGTACTCTTTAATTTAACATCATGTTGAATAGTATTGCACTTCAAAAATTATTAAATGATTAATGATTTTAATGGAGGGCTATCCGTAAAGGTTGGAGGCTGAGAAAGTAATGGGTATAGTATATCAAAAGAGGGTGAAAATGACGCTACGCGTTATGACCCTGATTTGAAAACCCCAAAGAGGGTCATCACCCTGATTTGTATGCTGAGAGGTTGACAGGTATGTCAATCACTCATTACTTATCCAACTAACACCAACAATTAAATGTTTGTAGTATACATTTGTAATTTGAAATCATGTAAAATTCAAATCTGCCATCTTGTACATTGATCATAATTTTATTTAAACCAAACTTAATAGGGGATTCCGTCTTTACGTATTGCAGAGTTATCTTCTCTTGGGAGCAGGTAGTGATTGTTACGTCATTGGTTTGTGTGAGAAAATTACGTCGTTTTCTAAAAAATTGATGACGTTACTCTCACAAACCAATGACGTAACAATCAATACCTGCTCACAAGTGCAGATAACTCTGCAATATGCAAAGACGGAATACTGGATGCTTGGATTTCCCTACTTACATGAACCGTTCAGTTCCAGCGTGGATTCCCCAATAGCGTAGGCCATTCCATCGACAGAGTGTGCTCCTGCGGTACCACACCAGTACGACTTCTGGATGGGGAAGTACCACTTACGGGGGATTCCAAAGTCACCTAAACAATAAACATCCTGTTAGTGTTACATGGTTTCCATTTCATATCAAAAAATATTATGTTGACACAGACACACAAAAAAAATTGTATCACAGTCAATAAATTGCATCTGACAGCAAACTTAATGGCTGCCAGAGATAAGCAGTATATTTATAAAATTACTTTAAGCCACATTCGAAAATGAATATTTTTACCATGGCCAGTTTGGAAATAAATGATCAGTTGTTCGACAGAAGTTTCCCTCGACAACTGGAGTCAAATACGCATTGACGAGGTTCAAATGGTGTCAAATGCCCTAGACAACAAGGCCTACCAGTGCTGCTTACTTGTTAGTCAAGTCAAGTTGTTTTATTTGCATGTTTTTATTTTTGTTTTTTGCAAGAGTATTTTTTACCATCATCAAGTTCTAAAACAAATTAGAATTCCAGTAAAACGTACCAGGGAACACTGCCTCAATGTACCACACAAACATGGCATATATGACTGAGTCGACCAACATCATTATGATACAGAAGAGCATGTTGAACTCGTCGTCCACTGTGGGGGTCTCTGCCAGGTTATACCACTGGATGCCTATGGCCTGCTCCTCGTACCGGGCTATATAGCTACAGCCAAACCCAAACGCCACGCCTGAGGACAGACTCTACAGAGAACCAAGAGAACCAGTTCAGTTGTTTTGTTTATTCATAATGAACTCAAAACGTGAATTTTCACATACATGCACATATATGTACTACAAATTGGGAAATTATCGCGGCAGTTTAACTTTCGCTTTTTTTGCCCTCCCCCCATGAAGGCATATTTATCATGACAGCGAATTTTTGTTCACAACATGCAATATAGAGTAATTACATATGAAGGGTATACAGAAATTAACTTTAAACAGAATATTTATAACTGTAAATCACAGATAATCTTGTTCCCCACTCCCATAAAAAATCAATAATGTCCATTTCGGTGTCTGTCGGAGGAATGAATATCATTTTTTTAAAGATAGACAGTGAACAGACAATCATCAGAAACAAATCTTTTTCTAGCTGTTGGATGAGTTAGATTGTAATAGGATTATAAATCTTAATTTAAGATTTGTGAGGCTAATGTAAACTTTCTGTCATTTCTTTTTGCATTTAGAGTATAATTTAAAACAATACATGAGTGTTGAAATAGGATTTGGAAACAAGTTTTACAACTTATATTAATCCATCTCAAGAGTTTATTGTGAGTTCTAACTAAAATACACAGTCTGCTGTATAAATTTGATGCTGAATGAATTACTAAAACGTTCACAAAAAAAAACTGTCCTTGCCTACAGCCTTAATTTACAAACAGTAAGTACCCCTGCCACTGACTGTTAGATGACCTACCCCCAGGAACTTGTGACCACCGGTCATCTGATCTTCCCACTGTATTGACAAGTTGTAGGGTAGGTACAGCACAAAATAGATGAAGCCAGCACAGCAGGCAGCCAGGTTGGCTCGGCTGAAGAACACACTGATTAGGAAACACTGCATGATCGTGGATATCGCAAACACAGTGAAGAAAAAGATCAGTACACTCGGATCTGAAAACTCCAGCACCTTCCCACCCTAGAGAAGAAAAATGCAGTTGGATATAAAACACTTCTACAGATATAAGAATTGAGAACTGCAATCGAAGTCTGTGCAAAAGTTCTTGTTAAACAGTAGTCAATAAAGTGTAGTGAACTTGACAATTAGCCTAAGAGCAACAGAACACTTAAGCTCTGTGGAAATGAAATTTACGTGTATATTTTCACAAAATAGAAACCATATTTGATAAGATTTTATAATATCTATTGTTGATGAGTCAAGGACAATAGAACCAATTTTTGCAACATACCTAAATATACGAAACATTTATGTATCACTGTAGATTCTGAAGGTGAAATTCAGATGTAATGTATGAATCTGACATCACAGAATTATATCTGACTTTAAATCTGCTGAAAACAAAAAATCTGAATGGTCAATTTTCTAGACAAATATAATTTGGCAGACAATTTCAGAAGGACTGAGGGAGTGAGAAAAGAATGAGGCCCTTGCTTAATTTCGATTTCTTTCAAAGTTTCAAAAGAATTTCATATAAAAATCATACTCATTGGTATATGTATTAATTTAGATTTCAAATTAATTTGATATCAATACTTAATCAAAAATGTTCTGAATTTCTTATGCCACCATGACCTTAAAAATGACTTTGACTGACGACCTTCACACTGACCTTGACGAGGAGGACAAGGAGGAGTATGGTGATGAACATGACGACGAAGGCGTTGATGAACCAGGCGACCCAGTGAACCAGGTTTCCCAGTCCCATTATCTTCATCACTTCCTTCAGGCGCTTCTCCTTCTCGTACACCACATTCTTACAAATCATGGCCACAGTGAGTACCCAGGCCAGGACCAGAAACAGCGGCAGCGACCGAGAGATGGCATTAACAAACCTACAATAAACAGTGTAATTTACTGGCTGGACATGAAATGTCATGAACCACGATACAGTGTTTCTAACTCTAGCGATTATTGAGCCAACAAAACATCATCTATGAATTATGTATACCGGGAAACTTTCGCCCAGCCAAATTTTCGCCCTACACCAATTAAATCCATTTTCGCTCAATGTTAATTTTGTCCTTAACATTTGGTAGCTATGTTTATGATATCACTTACTACTGTTCGCAGTAATAATAAATTTGTCCTCATTGCGGAGGGTGAAAAAGGCAAAAATTACATTACAGTGAGAATGTCCCGGTATACATTAGTAAATATATTTACAACAAACCTAAGGGACATAACATATTAGCTCAACATGTTGCCAGGTATGTTATGGAAAGAATTTACATGGAGCATCTCTCATTATGGCCTTCAGAGATGCACACATAGATAATTATCAAACTAATGTATACCATCGTAATATTATGTGTGTACATATGTTTCTAATGGACACAATTATATATATATAAAAAAAAAAGTGTATACAACCTGTCACTGTTTGATCATAGGTGACCATGTATATTAATGATAAGAGAGGGATTCAATTGGTCTCACTGTCTTGCTTCAAATATTTCCCATTTACATGAATAATGCCAAGATTGAAAGCCTATACTATGTGTCTATCAGGGTAGTTCAGGCAAGAGTATTAAATATTGCTGTACTAAAGTATATATAAATAAGTATTATATATATTATAACTTAGTATACATACTTGTCCTCTACGTAACAAGGGTAGGGGAACATCTGGAGCATGATGCCAGTGTCCTGTTTGGTGTCAGTCTGCAGACGGATGATAGCGTGGTCCACCATGTCCTGGATATACGAGAACCCAAAGGTTGTGTACTTGGTGTCGATGGCTGGTGTACGTCTCGGGCCAGGACGCCAGTACCTGGAAAACATCACAAATCAGTAGTAAGTAAACATGTGTTAATCTCTGATACACTGGACAATTACCAACAGATATACAGATACACTTTTCTCTAGTAAATCACCAGTTCAATATGTGCTCTTGTGTTCTGACAAATAGGATAAAACAATAAACTAGAAAATTACCAGTTATATAATTTATATACACAGACTGCTCATGTATCCAACAGTCTGACAAAACAATACACTGGACAATCACCTACAAAATATACAGACACACACTAAATTCTTGTCTGATAAATCAGGGTTAGATACTTTTGTGGATGACAAATGGGATAAAACAAATTATAGGTGATTGGATTGTGCAGTGGATAGCACACTTGCCTTCCACCAAGGTGGCCGGGGTTTGATTCCCCGATCAGTGTGAAAAGGTATGAGGTCACATGCCCGACAATGTGGGTTTTCTCTGGGTACTCTGGTTTCCTAACACATTAAGACCCTCGCGCACTAACATCTGGGCCAACAAGATTTATTAATATAAGTTGAACTAACTTGTTTCATAATTGTTGTAAAATAAATAAAGTTTATATTTTATATTATATAAAACAATAAGCTAGACAATCACCAGTTTGTTACACAGACATGTAAATGTCTCCAATATATCCAACAATACAACACATTAGCCAATAACCACACAGACAAGTAGATGTCTCCAATATATCCAACAATACAACTCATTAGCCAATCACCAAACAGACATGTAGATGTCTCCAATATATCCAACAATACAACCCATTAGCCAATCACCACACAGACATGTAGACGTCTCCAATATATCCAACAATACAACACACTAGCCAATCACCACACAGACAAGTAGATGTCTCCACTATATCCAACAATACAACACATTAGCCAATAACCACACAGACAAGTAGATGTCTCCAATATATCCAACAATACAACACACTAGCCAATCACCACACAGACAAGTAGATGTCTCCACTATATCCAACAATACAACACATTAGCCAATAACCACACAGACAAGTAGATGTCTCCAATATATCCAACAATACAACACATTAGCCAATCACCACACAGACAAGTAGATGTCTCCACTATATCCAACAATACAACACATTAGCCAATAACCACACAGACAAGTAGATGTCTCCAATATATCCAACAATACAACTCATTAGCCAATCACCAAACAGACATGTAGATGTCTCCAATATATCCAACAATCCAACACATTAGCCAATCACCACACAGACACGCAGATGTCTCCAATATATCCAACAATACAACTCATTAGCCAATCACCAAACAGACATGTAGATGTCTCCAATATATCCAACAATCCAACACATTAGCCAATCACCACACAGACACGCAGATGTCTCCAATATATCCAACAATACAACACATCAGCCAATCACCAAACAGACATGCAGATGTCTCCAATATATCCAAGAATACCACACATTAGCCAATCACCACACAGACAAGTAGATGTCTCCACTATATCCAACAATACAACACATTAGCCAATCACCACACAGACATGTAGATGTCTACAATATATCCAACAATACAACACATTAGCCAATAACCACACAGACAAGTAGATGTCTCCAATATATCCAACAATACAACACATTAGCCAATCACCAATTTGATGCATAGACACGCCGGTGTCTCAGACATATCGGAAATAAAAACACACTAGACAATCACCAGCTACATACATAGCCATAAACCAGTCTCTAGCAGAAAGAACAAAGAGATGGAGTTTGACAATTACCTGTCTTGGACTCTCTTGGTGCTGTCCACTTTGTCTGGGTCCATGCGTATCTTGTAGTTGACAAAGGTTGGTCGCTTCTGACTGTCCATCCTCACCTCGTCAAACTGTAGGCCTGAAAACAACCAACAGAGCTCAATAAACAAATCTGAAACTAATATATGAACAGAGAATTTAGAAGTTGCAAAGAATCGCTAGTCTCCATACATGAGCCTTCCCAATCATAGCCATGACTCAAATCAGAGATAACTAGAAGTGCACCCATTGTTCTCCAGAAACCAACACAATCGCTGGGCTATAAAACAGTGTAAGAGACAGGAAAATCTTTACCCAACACAAAAATTGGGCTAATAAACAGTGGTAGAGGGATAATGCTTTTTAACCCAACATAAAGTTTGGGCAAGAAAATAGTGGTAACTTCCCTGTTTATCCAGCACTAAATGGGTAAGAAGCTGAATAAAGACATGTGGATTCTTGTGATGATTGTTGTGTATAGGTTTTCTTTGAATTCTTCAGCAGAAATGATAACAGACATGATTGAATTTCAGATAGCAACGTCTGACTTATAGATACTAGCTAGGGAGGTAAGGATTTCTACTATATCACCCTAATATTGACCACAGACATGATAGTCTGACTTATAGATACTAGCTAGGGAGGTAAGGATTTCTAATATATCACCCTAATATTGACCACAGACATGGCCTTCACTTTTTTATGCATCATGATCACATACCTGCAAAAAACGTGCTTGCTCCTATGCCATCCTTACTGGCCTGCACAAATGCCTCGTAGTCATTGAACCCACGAAACCGGTCAAAGTTGATACACTGTGGAGGCAAAATATATAATGTGATCATCACAGACATCACAACATCAGCACAAGGTCACCACATGATCCGTACAAGGTCATCATACGATCAACACAAGGTCATCCAAAGGTCCTTAATAGGTTATCACATGATCATCACAAATTATGATAACGTACAAGGTTCAAGTTAACATCACAAGGTAATCACGAGATCACAAGGTCATCACAGGTCAACAAATCAAAACATAATCTTTTAAGGTATCCTGATTAATCTTGCATTTTACAACACAAATCGTTTGTGCTGTATATATTTACCTGTGTATATTCTGAAACCATGCTTGCCACCTGCTCTATTATTCCCAGGGTGTCACGAAGGTCAATGTTTGCTGCTAGTGACCCGTTGACCAGGTAGTTGTTGAGGAACTGACAAAAGCTCTCGTTGGGGTTCTTGATCATCATATAATATTGGTTGCTGTTGATATAATCCTCCACCTCTTGAATGCTCAAGTTGATGAGGAAGCTGGGCACGAAGCTTGGAAGGGGGTATAACTGGGAGGAGATGACCTGAGCCAAGTCTAACCCAGCGGTGGCATTCTCCAGTAGTTCACACAGACAAGATCCCGTGAAATTCTGTCACGAGACAATGTTACATATCAACCAATATACTATTGCTAGCCTTTAAAGTCAAGTGTATTGCATTATCTTGCCAGAAAAAAAATTAAAACAGTAATGGAAAGTCTAAATTAAATAATTCATCCATATGTGTTCTCCAATACCAAATTTATAGTGTCACTGTTTTACAATGATGTCAATAATACACTGACATATATTGTCACTGTTTTACATGAATGAATATTTCTGAACCACACACACACCGAAAAGAACACAAATTTAGTTACTTACCGTAAGCATCTCTAAGGAAGATTCAAGCATCAGTGTCTCTGTGTCCAGTTCCATTACAACTTCACTGAAACTGGCCAAGTCTTCAAACGTCTTGTTCGTCTATAGATAATGGAACAAAACAATAAGCCGAGAGTCAAAAAGTGGCATTGGAACATCTAACTCATCAAATGATTTTTATCTCACGTGGAAAACAAACATCCCATACACAACCAAAAAATAGTTATTTAATTTTTTGCAATCTCATGCAATAGTGATATCTTCAATAAATCACAATTAACACACAGAACAAAAAATCACTGTTGTTCAGGGCCATGAGTCTAGTCACCATATGCATGGCTATTTGCCATCAAAATTTGAAAATGTTTCCACAACTTGTTTTGAAATGAAAAAAAATAAGATGTTCCTTATCATTCTATACTTATTCCAATTAACTGGTCATGGCTGATATCGGAATACCCACTGTACTCGTTCTTACAATAAAAGGATAACTAGTTAAAATCTATATATCATTACAGCTGTATTCAAACTATTACACAATGGACGTGAAGTTTATTACCACCTTTTGATTCATCATTCATGTGGTAATTTGAACATATCTGATTTTTAAGTCCTGGCATAAGTTTACGGTATAGACTGTAAGATGTCAAACCTCTTTGATGAGTATCTGTATATCAGGGGTGTCCGGGTAGTAGAAGATTTCTCCCTGTAGTAACGGCCTCAGCTGTGTCCAGATGTAGCTGCTTCCGGAGCCACTGCCCAAAGAGGCTGCAATGCTACTGCACATACCAGCTAGAAATCATACAATGTTACACAAACTTAAAACTTCATTTACCTAGATCACTCCTGTCTGACTTGCAGGTAAAGTGTCTAGAATACCTTATATTCTGAGAGGTAAGGGTATATGCTGTTCTATGAATAGTTATTACACCTGTTTAACATGCAGGTAAGATGTAAACGTTTACTCATAGTAAAACACCTGTTTATTCTGAGAGGTAAGGGTATAAGCTGTTCTATGAATAGTTATTACACCTGTCTACCTAGCAGGTAAGATGTACAAAAAAGTCTACCTATAGTAAAGCAACTGCATCATCTAAGAGGTAAGGGTACATGTATATGCAGGTCTGTGACTAGTTATAGCACCTATTCAAACTGAGAGATAAGGGTATATACTGGTCTGCTTACAATTATAAGATCTGCCTCCGGAGCTGGAAGGTGCAGCTGTTGAAGGGGGTTGTCTAGGGGTCACAGAGGGAACATCAGTTGTTCCAGAGTTGGTATTTCCCTGGTTGGGTTGCCCCCCTTGTTTCCCGACTCCTTGTACATTTGTGGTGTCATCGTCGCCGAAGTTAAAGAACGAGCCTTCCCTGCCACATATCATACTCCCAATGGAGGACACTGAACCGCCAGAGAAATTTCCGCTGCTGATGTCACGAAACAGGTCCATGAATGGAACCAGGTCAGATGCAGAGTTTATCAAATTCGTAAACTGCAAGCAAAACCAAGTAATAGCACTTAAATTTGGCAGAAATTTACGACAGTTACACCAGAACTGTAAGCCATAGGTATACTTATACCCATGCTCCCGCATTAAAATAATCAGAAAAGGGTTGTAACACCCATAAAATGTATTGAAATTAAAGATCAAATCAATTGCACAACTACCTATGATAGCAATCATGTGTATCAATTTTCACAAATATTAGTTAAGGAGATAAGAAGCAGCACTTCAAACAAAACATCTTAATTAAAATCAGAGAAGTGGCATAAAAAAATAATAATAAACAAATATTAAGCAGAAGTGTACAACTTCCCAGTTTGGCAATTATATACGCAAATTTATTAAGATTTTTGGAAAAATAACTGTAGGAGTTGCAATGACGAGACTTGACTAGGACTTTTGCAACAGGGACATAGCTCTCGTAAAATTAGGTGAGACAAATATATGTAAATTTACATTTTCTGAGTGTATTAAATATATCTGTGGGTTCTAGATATAAAAGTCAGAACAGAATCACAACTTCAGAGTGTGTAGAATATATCTGGAGTTTCACAAAATTCAGGTGAAAACTGTAGTTGTCTGGACAAACTTCTGTCTACAGACAGACAGCTGGACAGACAGACAACACAGTTCCAGTATATCTTTACAGATAGCTGGACAGACAGACAACACAGTTCCAGTAAATCTTTACAGACAGCTGGAAAGACAGACAACACAGTTCCAGTATATCTTTACAGACAGCTGGACAGACAACACAGTTCTAGTATATCTTTACAGACAGTTGGACAAACAGATGGACAGACAGTCAATCTTATTCCATTATATACCTCTTAACTTCATTGTGTTGGTGTGTAAAATTGGGTAGTTAAGGAGAGTGGGAAAACAAGGCCGAACCCAGGCTTGTTCAGTGTTTAGTTATTACTAACTTACATCTGGCACTGTACTAGCAATCTCCTCGAAGATCTGAAATAGTTCAGCCGGATTTGTTCTTGTTGCCCTTCCTGTGGTATTTGTAATGAAGTTGCCAATCTTTGAACACAAGGAATATATAAAATTAAGTAGTTAAAATGCATTCCAAAATAAATTACATTTTTAAATCAAAACAGTGTATTAACGAAATATAGCATTTTTTGCAATAAAATTGTACTGTAGGAGAAATACAATTTGTCTTTTTACTCCTTTTACGACCATGCTTTAGTTATTTCCACTGCTCATAGCTTAACTGAAGATCAGTATATAGTTCAGCAAGTTTAATTAGAACACAAAACATTATAACGTTGACAACGAAATATAAATTATTACATACTTTTGACTTATATAACTACTTGTGCAGCTAACAGGTTTAATGTTTACCTCGCCTGAAAGACTAGTAGGGTCGAACTGGTTCAATAGAATTTGGAAAGCTTGCGTGAAATCAACTTCATCAAGGCCACAGATTTCGCCCAAGACATATGCTGCATCCGCTGGGTCCTGAAAGACCAGCAGCTGAGAGATATTTCCTGTAGTACACAGCAGACTACGGAAATCGTCAGCAGACGACACAAGTGGATTTTGTTGGCAGACGCTGAAATCTGTCAATATTTCATTGGCGGTGGATAGATCATACTGAAACAAACAAAGCAATATCAGAATAAGAAAGATGAAATCTTAAAATGTTTATTCACACACATTTAAAAATATAACCAATGCAATAGTATTTTTTTCAACAAATCTTACTGCAACAAATACAGCAAAAGAAAGTTTAATTAAAAGACATAAAAGTGGCACACCTTGTTATTCCATTTATAAAGGAGTTAAGTAAGAGCATGAGAACGGTTTTATGAATACAAGCCCTTGATATAAGTTTGATGAGGGAGTTCAGCAAAAGACTGCTACTTGACAGAGAAGTTAAGCTGTAGTGTTATTACCCCATTAAGGTTGATGGAGGAATTGAGAATCTTATCAATGGCATCTGGTGACAAAGATATGTTCTGCTGCTGGAGTTGATCAGTCAAATTCTGCCGGCTCCCCACAAAGTTACCCAGATTCAGCATACCTGTGAAAAATGAAATTTACATATAATGTTATAGTTCACAAATAAGCTCTACACAACTTCAAGTAATTATGGCCTTTAAGAGAAAAGATTTCAACTCTCAAAGTAATCCCTTTCTTTGTTCTCTGGGTTTTATTTGAGGACTTCTTAATTATATTGCTAAGCCAAATTCATTTTAGAAAAAGGTTTTCTTTCCAAATTTTAACAAATTAACCTATTTGGCCCTTTTTTCACTTAAAGACTCAGCCATTTGGTCCAATTCCCTTATTCTGCATTGTGTGTTGAAAGATGACAGAATTAAATCATATCTACAATAGCTCTATTTAACTTGAGTTACCGACTATTAAAATCTGCAGCTCATGAAAAGTGCTATCCTCAGGATTGACAAAATACACAAAACACAATCTGAATCTCTAAAAAAAAAATACAATTTTGATATTCCCCAAGATACTATCCAAAAGATATCCCTTCTAATCCTATACGCATCTTTGATTAAGTCTTTGACAGTATCTGTTCTCAGTTTCATTTATTTATGTTTGTTAAAAAGATCCTCAATTTTGGCAAGTGAGTTTCTGATTTAGCAACTGAAATTTCTGATTACCTGCAAAACTGAAATAGAATACGAAAAAATAATAATAATAAAAAATATGACCTACTTGTAGTGGTACCGTTCTGTACCTGTCCAAGCACCTCCATCAGTATATAGTAGTCGTAAACAATATCGTTGTACACCTTCAACACATCCTGCACCTCTAGTATTCTGGTGATGTCTCTCACTATCTCGCTTAATCTGGAAAATACCAAACACAAGTTACAATTTTTGGAACAAATAGAGAAACCATCATTTGTCAACAATACAGATATAAAAAAAAAAACATACATCATACTTTTCATTTCATTGCAAATGTCAGTGAAAGCAATCTTTTTATGTTATAACAACAATTTAACTGAACCTTTCTTAATCTGATAAAATTTTCTACTTCCATGAAATTTTCATTTTATAATTCTAATACCTTATTATTTTTTTAATGATAATAGTAATAATAACAATAATCGGAGGTTCTTATATACTGCTTTATCTCAATCTAGTTCGTAGATCGCCTCAAAGCAGTTCACAAAAATATTATCCGTGGTTATAGGGCCTTTGAAACCAGCCAATCTTTTTCTGAACTCCCAGGGAGCATACAGCCGGTGCTGCGATTTCGGCACTCACAGGTAGCATTTGACAATTCCAGCACGTTTTACCTTTTGTTTTTTTCAAATTATTTTTACATTGATTGGTTTAAAGTTTGTGCTTGTATTTGTTTAACGTCACCCAATTGACAGATTGTATTTTGTTTCTGTGTTTTTGTTAACTTTTATTTTTCGTATAAGTTTTTACTTCGCCTTTTTGGCAGGTTATGTGTTACTTACAGAGAGGTGTTGAAGGTCTGCACCTGACCAGCCATCTCGTCAGTGGTGACTGTATCGTGACAGGTGTTATTGTAGGTACACACCAGTCCCTGTAGCCACGGTAAATTTCCCGCACTAGGCATTGCCTTCCCCTCAAAGTGACCTGTCAAACAACCAACCAGCTTAACAGTAGGCCACATGTACTTCTCAGATATAGAGGATATTTAATGGTGTCGTCAGTAATAACAAATATATTTCACGAGTGTGGCTAATATTTTGATATTTTACACAAGTGATATCAAAATATTAGCCAAACGAGTGAAATATATTTGTTATTACTAAAGACGACATTACATTTTCTATTTATTACATTTTTTAAGCATAAAACACGAAAAAATGTAATGCATTTAAAAAAGGCGGGAATCAGGAGCGTAATAATTAGCGCCATATCCTAATGACGTCACACTTGACAAGGCTGTGCGTCATTTTAAATGGGATACTCAACGCAATTCCGACGTTTTCTGCTATTTTCTGTTAGTATTGCTTATAAAATGTTATTAAATGTATATTTATGTTAATACATAAGTGTGTGTACCAAACATTTACTATAACAAGCACTTATTTCACTGTCGCTTCATTTGAATCTGAACAAAAAATCGTTGCCTTTGAATGCAGCGAATAGAAGAAACCGTTATGATTGGTCAATATCATAACGTGATATTTTCACACTGGAAATATCACTTTTGATATTTGTCACAGTGTGAAAGATATCAGTTTTATCAAGTTGATAGAATCCGATATTTCACTGGCAAAAATGTAATAAATATGTTAATTTGCAATGAGTGTAAATTGTTGATTCCAATCTCACGAATTGTTATTCAGACATAATAAAACACAGGAAATCTTAATCGTTATTTTTTGTTATTGTTTCTAATGTGAATTAAAATCCTGATAATGTTTTTGTTTGAAAACTTAATGATAGAACTGAAAGGTGAAAAGGTTACTTGCTAAAATGAACAAGTCATCAATAAGTTAGTACTGATGCTGGACAATGAGTCATTCAATTGGAGGTTGACTTACAACAAATATTACCCATACAATCATTCACAGATCTCAGTCATCATTTTTATCTTTACATTTATGATAGTGAAATTGCTAAATCTGGCAGTACCACAGTCCACTTACATTCGCCATGAAGAGTCCTGAGATCGGGACGCTGTCGGACGATGACAAGGATGAAGAATAAAGTCAGTGGAAATAATATTTCAAGTAACAGTCGAAACTGGAAAAAAAACACGGTAAAGTTTTAATGTAAGTGATATGTGTAAACCGTCCGAAATTAGAGACAGGTTCAGATTTACAAGATAGCACTGTATTCTTATCATATAGCTTTAGGTGATGTGGACAGTTTCAGGTAACAGTTTGGACACATTATATGACCTCACACTCTTGATCAGATCTTAAGCTTGCTATAGCTCCCGACCACATATAGAAAATAAATCAACATATAAGAAGCATGCCAACAGTTTGAAAATTGAAAATTGAAAATTTGACGTTAAACCAAATATCTTTATTCTAGCCTAGATTATCCCTGACCAAATATCGAAAGAAATCAAGCAGAATTGCAGCAATAACTTATAAATCCTGCATACAAATTTCGATTAAACCTAGTACTGAGGATAGTCAAAAGTCGTAACAATCTCTCTATCAGGATTTTTAATGTTGCTGATATTTTTATCATATTTTTCATGCTGTGATTATAATACTTTTTGTGAATACAGTAGTTTTATACAGAATTACATAAAAACACCTACCTTTTGCCTCTTGCGGAGGGTATAGTTCTTCCACATCAACAAGAGCAGCTGAGACCCAAACCCCATCCTGCCTTGTAGAGCTCACAGCTTATGTCTGCCAAAATAAAGATATTCCATACTAAACCAATAAATTCTACATAGGTTTTCATCAAGAAAAATCCAGTTTAGCAACACATTAACATTGCCATACTCTCTGGAATGTCAAGTTTACACAGGTTTCCAGATTGGGCACTGTTTGGTTTAAACAAGTCTGTAGCAGTCTAGTCTGAAATAATCATCAAGGCTAACAGAGTTGTTCCCCCTTGTACTTTTTGCCCTTGTACGTTATTAAAATAAACTTTATTTATTTTACAACAATTATGAAACAAATTATTTCAACTTATATTAATCACTCTGGTCGGCCCAGATGATAGTGTGCTTAATATGGGAGGAAAATTGAGTACTCTGAGAAAACCCATGTGCAAGTGAACCCCTACCTATTCTTGTCCGATCAGGGAATCGAACCCCGGCCAACTTGATGAAAGGAGAGTGCGTTATCCACTGCACCACCAGACCACCCACTTAATTGTACTTAATTATGATGCACTATGGGTAAAAAAGCATGTAGGAGCCATAGTTATCTTTGCTGTTGACATACTGTTACAACACAACGGGCACATTTCACAATGTATCACATGTCAAATTTCAGAAAGATCAGTCTATTGGATTCCAAGATAAAGTCCAAAAACAAACGTGTGGACAGACAGAAGACAGTCGACAGACAGACAGACAGACAGACACTGTGATAATCATTCGTTCCCGCATCTCAAAGCACGGCTCTAGTTATAATTACTCAATATTAATTTCTGTATGACTGTAAAGGCTGGTTGGCAGAATCACATGTCAACTTCAATGATCGATGTAAATGACGTCAAACATATTGTCAAGTTAACAACTGCAGTCACGTGAGGGGTTTTAATATGCCAACACTCCCACAGCTTATTCAAAGAGTCTATGCTGTTTCTAAAAGCCTTGTGGCAGGTACAACAAAGGGAACCAGGTACATGTACACTCGATCGAATAGTATATCCCAGCTAGGTGTATATTCGTGAATTTATTCATCCACTGACAAAGGACAATAGCTTTACTTAAACCTACAGCCAATTATTGTGAGGTCACAATCGATCCTTTACATGTATTTTAATGAAAATTCAAAAACCATACTCCATGTATACATATAATCCAGAGCAAGTTTTTGCACTATAATAAAATATTCAAATGTACACATAGAGCTAGAATCAATATTGCACCTGGTGACTTTGATAAATATACATGCAGTGAAGTTACTTTTCTTTGGCAACTGAAATTTTCCTTGATTACCATGTAGTCAATAAATCATCTATCGATGAAACATACATTCATTGTATACAATTATTATATCCTTCACTTGAGTAATCCTGATCATGAAGCCTTGCTTATGTTAAAGCAGTGTTCGGGCTGTATGTGACAAAAAGGGGGGTCCTTTTCAAATTATAAATGGTCCTTTTAAATAGTTCAAATGGAATATTGTAAAAAGTGGGATTTTTTATTTTATTTTATGCCTTATAATGGAGTATGGCATAAACGCAAACCCTGGTTTTAGTGTGTGGCGATTAGTCGGGTATCCATATTTCGCTGTTTCACTTTCTTGATTATCTGGGTATTCATGAACTCATTTACATGTACTAATACAAGAACAAAACAGACCCAGGGTCATCATGTTTTATCTAATGCCTAATCATGCTCTTTATCAAATTGGCTTAGAATTTTTGTGCACAGAATAGAATATATTGATTTAAAAATATGTGGGTTATATCAACTTATAGCTAGCTGTACTTCATATTTCTCCAAATATTTACACAGCAAGAGAGAAATTTGTCCGTAAACGGTTCTTATTTTATAATTTAAGTGCAAACAAGTTCACGGGTTGCTATATATGGTAATATGATATTGAATGTCAAGATAGAATTTGTGAAATCTGGACACGGCTTATGAATACGAACATTGCACAATGTCACATGTTCATGTGTCTCGTGATCAATGTTCTACATTTTAACCCAGTACACACACCAACAATAGCCACCATTACTCTTTCATGCAAATTACATGTACGCTCGCCCGAAGAAAATCGTATGATCTGTTTGGTAGTTCGCCGATATAAAAAGTTCTACAACCTGCACCTAAATAGGATAAACACAACATTAACATAATCTTAATTATTTAAAGTCTACCTAATATGCATGCACGTCCAAAAATATTTTATGGGAGAAAAATGATTGGCGTGAGGGAGCACGAGGGAGGACTGGTTTATGGAGGTTGATGAATGATTTTTACAAGACCATTAAGATTTCTACCTTCCTTCCATAGAATAATTGATGATTGATGGACAGACTGATGGAGATGCTCCCAATACCCTAATATTTCCAGTCAAAATTTAAGAAGGCATATCAAAACTTAACGCTGAACTAATTAGGAGTATGGAACAAAGTTTTCTATGCATGGAAAGACAGATGGACACACTGATATCATTATACCCCCAAACTTCACTAGAGACGGAAAAAACACCATTGCATATGATTTTACATATCGCTGAAATCCTTAACCGTAATCTAATAATTATACATAAAGTGATGTTTAAAAACACCTTACCATTGCTCACTATGAATGCCTATGTAAATTTTATAGATCTCAACATTTAATTCTACATACATGATTTTATTTGAACAAGATAAAGTAAAGTAATAGAAATCAAAGCAAGCATATATCTCAAGCATTATGTTAATACCCCTAATTTAAACACTATATTTATTTGTGTAGCATGCAGCAAAATTTCTTCACTGGTTATAATTAGGTAGTCAGGATTGGTTTGTGTAAACAGCTGAATTTCATTTGCATCTAGATTTCCTGAACTTTCCACTTCAAATCCATTCAAAGCCATGAAAATATTTCTCCACTTCACAATAGTAAATCTGAATCCGAATCTACATCAACAGCTTTACAGAGACATATATATTGCATTAAAATTCCTGAAGCAACGAGATCCAAAAGGGTTCTTGTAATTGGCATCCACAATTTTTTATTTGTACTGTTTTCATTTGTTCTATCTTTTCTCTGATATAATGGATTGATAGTCTTGTCAACAGTAAATGCATCTTTCGGTTACTATTGAGTGCCCTTTTAAAGTTAGGTTATCTACCCTCTCAAAGTTAGATTATCTGCCCTCTCAAAGTTAGGTTATCTGCCCTCTCAAAGTTAGGTTATCTACCCTTTCAAAGTTAGGTTATCTGCCCTTTCAAAGTTAGGTTATCTGCCCTCTCAAAGTTAGGTTATCTGCCTTCTCAAAGTTAGGTTATCTGCCCTTTCAAAGTTAGGTTATCTGCCCTTTCAAAGTTAGGTTACTGCCCTTTCAAAGTTAGGTTATCTGCCCTTTCAATGTTAGGTTATCCATTACTTCTTGAGAAATAATGATAACAAACTTTAACAGTCAACACCCTGAATGCAAGATAAAAGATGCCTTCTTGGTGGCCATCTTAATTTTCAAATCAGTCTCAAAATGAAGAACCAAAGGGAACTTGCATATTTAATTTGAGAAAATGCAGTTGAGTACTTTTTGAGATATACAATGTAGCATTAACAATCTGAACTGTCAAAATCCAGGATGTCTTCCTGATGGCTATCTCGTTTTTCCAATCTGTCTCAAAATGAAACATACTACTGCACAACTATCCTCCATTTCAAAGGGGCCCTACAATTCAAATCTGAAAATGATCTGTTCTGTACCTCATTAGAAATAGCCATAACAAACTTTAACTTTTGAATAAAGGATGGCTATATATATAGCTACCTGGTGGCCATCTTGCTCTTTTATTCGTCTCAAAATGAAAACAGGAACAACTACATACAGTTCAAGGGCGACCTACACATGAAAATTGAGCAAGATCTGTCAACTATTTAATGAGAAATAGCAATAATTTCCTGATGACTAGCGATAACAAGAATTGTTTATTTGCAGATGATGGATGCCCAAGGATGAAAGGCGATTTGATTACCCCAGCATCTGGTGATGATGGGCTAAAAAATCGAGGAAGTCATTGTTCACCTGTGTATGTCTAAAATCACTCTGACGCAAACAATGTTCTTCATTTTTCAAACCCAGTATACTAAACTAAAAACATGTGTACATGAAGATATACAAAATATTGTTCCAATAACATGTCAGCCTTTTAGTATTACATAAGGAAAAATCTGATACTCTAAAACAGCCTACTAAAAGTGAAAGCATGACATGTCAGCCTTTTAGTATTACATAAGGAAGAATTTGATACTCTAAAACAGCCTACTAAAAGTGAAAGCATGACATGTCAGCCTTTTAGTATTTCTGAATTCTAAGGGAGATCAATCTGATAGGATTGTGTGCCCTTCTCATGGGGATATACAGTAGATAATCTCTAACAGTATCAATACAGTATTGTAATGTACCATTAAATGTCCTTACCTAGACACACAATCAATGACCTACCTTAGTTATTAGCTTACAGTGTCTACAGTCCCCTACCCATTAGTCATATAGTGTGAGGACGTCGGTGTACAGGGTCTATAGTCCCCTACTTTTTAGTGTGAGGATGTAGGTTGTGTGTAAGGATGGTTTTAGCTGTGTCACCTCCACTCATTACCAACATATACCTAACAGGATGTTTTACCACCTCTGAACCTTTAATTGTCTGGTCATGCACCTCTTAATAACCTACCTGTGTCAACGTAATGCAAAACAGAGAGAATAATCAATATGTTTCGGGTAACCACATCCTGTAATACATAAGCAAATGCTGTTTTATGGATGTACATACAAAAATTTAAATATATCTTTTAACTTTTTCCTTACATAAGTGCATTCTACTTGTATACATTATAGATACGATACTTATTAACGGTTTTAAAGGTTTATACATGTATAAGTACTACAGATGAAATATATATTACACTTTTTATGGCCCCATGTAAAAACTTCATGTCAATAATGCTTATGTACAACTGAACAGTATTTTACATGAAAAACAAGAGGCCCACAGGGCCTGTATCGCTCACCTGAATATTTAAGCAGTCATAGCAAAATATTCTCATCAAATATTATATTGCACTACAAATATTTCCCTCGCAAACTTTGTCGACTCCATCTGTTGAAACTACCAGCCAAATTTATCATAAGATTCTATGCTTTTTTATTCTACTTCAGAAGTTGCTGGACATATTTTTCCCTGTGACCTTGTAAGTAGGTCAGTGTCATTTTCCTTCTCAAATTGGTTAGCTCTATTCCAAAACGCTACGAGCCAAATCTTATGAATTCATTCCTTTTAGTTCTTAAGAACAAATACTTTAAAATGTTGTTGACCTCTAAAGTAGGTTGAGGTCATTTTCATTCGCAAACTTTGGTGAGCTCTATCCCAGGAAGTCACCAGCCAAATATTATAATATTTTGCCTTTCGATTATTCAGAAGTCATTTGATGTTTTTGACATATTTGACCCCTGTGACATTGAAAGAAGGTCAAGGTCATTTTTTCAAACTTTGCCGGGCTCTATCTCAGGAAGCAACCAGCCAAATATGAAGATTCCTTCAGGCAGACGTGCTAAAAACCCTACTTTTTTAATTACTATGGATTTTTTACAACATAGTAAAATGTAAAATGCCATAACTAATGTAAGTTTCATCATTCAGAGACAACAGTTAATTTTTCCGAAAATTTCAGTGTACAAGCAGATTATTGTCACTGAGTTTTTATTTATTTGATGACAGAAAAAAAATCCTGATTTTTTCATCATAGTCAATATTTGTTCACATGAGTTGAATTAATTCTCAATTACGGTATTATAACCTGCTCGCTGCGAGGCTTGTAGATCTTGATCAAGACCATTCTTGGAATATCAACTCACTTGAATGGTTCCTAACCAATCAGCACTCCTTAGATATCCTCTACACTTTCACTAGTATACTAATATTATCATCCATTTTTTTCACTATTCTATATAACTCTCATGAAATATACAAATGAACATTGGAAAAAGGGCACCAATTGATTATTATACCGTTCACTGACTTACATTTTCCTTTATATGTGGAAAAATCAAAATTTGAACTACTAGTAGCAGTGTTGATTGCTAAGTTTTGAAACAGTTCGGTGACTTAAAAAGAATATCTGGTCAAAGGTTCACATGCTATTATGTTGACCTATACATGTTTTTTTTAAATATAGCCATTTCAGAATAACAAGCTACTTTTGCCAGCAGTTAGCTTTTAACCTTTTCACCCCTAGGTAACATGAGTAGACTCTACCATATACATTCAACTGGATGAGTCTATTATGGTCTACAGTGATGATTTTTAGGGTTAATGAGAACACTGCCTGCAGTAGGTTTCTAAATTGTCATATTAGTGCTTTATTGTTGCTGGATTCCGTAGTGAAAGAATGTGAATATGCCATGGAAGAGGACAAACATACACATAGGATAGTTCGCACAGAGACATATTAAGCCATGTATAGTATACACATCTCTGGTTAGCATCAATTTTTATAAGCTTGATTATGCAACATATAAAAAATATCTGCTGTTTGGCCCAACATTATGGCCGTTATAAAAACTTGTTGGTTGCCACCACTTAGGGTCTCATATTCTAGACTACAGCAAATTAGGCCATAAAATATTTCTGTATTAGTCTGCTTTGAGTCGTAAATACTGGTATTCTTAAACTTGGGTTATCCCTGACTTTCTGTATTTCTAAGCATTATATTATCAACCTGTATTTGCTGTATTGTATGCTGTATTCAAACAGTATCATATTTTGAAGCAATCTCATTTCATTTTGATGTTTCAAATTCAATCTAATTATAATCAGACCTTTCAAGACTGCTTCATTACCCACCCTCAGCGTAAGTTAACTAAGGAAGCGGTCTTCAGAGGACTGATCTTAATTAGATTGTGTAATTATTAAGCTAATAACAGCACACAAATCCTCTGTAATGAGTACATTACCAGACAGATCTACTTTCAAGTCCAAGGGTTCAGAGTTTTACCTTGCTTTCACATGTACGTGTACAGTCAAAATATACATCTTATTTGTTCAGCAACATGAAAGGTGACAGTATTAGACTTAAAATGGCTACGTTATACCAACAAATATGTATTATATATTATAAGCAAACTAAGTCTGGAACTATCTGTTTTGATTATTCAACCTCTTATCTTAGTAAAAAAAAATCTTTACAATCTAGTGCAAATCTTAGAACAGCTGAGTCTCCAAACATCTGTTTTGATATCTTCTGGTTATTAATTGACATGTTATTGTAGGATCAAGTGTACTTATCATTTATAAACAAACATCTTTATTGATACCATAAGTACATATAAGCAGTTATTAACAGAATGAGAAAGTTTCTCACTTTAAAATTACTCTTTGAATGCTTAAATGGAAATACACTTAAGAAAGAATGTACCTGATACTGTAACATACATCTTTAGTCACTTCACTTATTCTTTATCAGTAATAACTCGATGCCAAATCATACTCGGGCAATATGACTTATGATGACTAAAGGTAGACCACACTTAACACTTCCGCAGTATGGAATGTACATCATCAACCCACCACTATCCCTGGCTTACTATAACAGAGACCTGAGTTAGCTTGCTTACTGGTATATACAGGATACAGGATATATGTCAAGATACCTGTTATGCTTAATATTGCAGGAAGTGCATGACATATACAGCTAAGAGGATTAGCTAAATCCCTACCAACCATTTATCGTATCAAATTTTACATGTATGTGTAGTGGTACGTACAGTACATGTATGTGTAGTGGGACGTACAGTACATGTATGTGTAGCGGTACGTACAGTACATGTTTGTGTAGTGGTACGTACAGTACATTTATGTGTAGTGGTACGTACAGTACATGAATGTGGAGTGGTACGTAAAGTTCATGTATGTGTAGTGGTACGTACTGTACATGTATGTGTAGTGGTACGTACAGGACATGTATGTGTAGTGGTACGTAGAGTACATGTATGTGTAGTGGTACGTATAGTACATGTATGTGTAGTGGTACGTACAGTACATGTATGTGTAGTGGTACGTACAGTACATGTAAAGGCCAATGGGTGACAATTTAAACAGAAAGGACTTTAAAGGATCTGTGTAACACTGCCACAAACTTTAACTAAGAACAGGACACTTTTTTTTCAGCAATAGTTTTAAGAAACCTTATCTGAAAATAAGACCTTACTTTGTGGGACTTTTATAACAAATATAATAAAGATGAAATGAACAAAATGTAATCAACAACAGTGTTCTGAACATCAACAAAGTTATAAATAGCAGCTGGGCTAAACCGGGTTTAATACACTGAACTTTATATTGATATACATGTACTACCGCTCTAACCGATTGAGCTAACTGGTCAATGAAAGTTCTCCTGGCATGGCCCAACTGTGCTACAGTTGCATCCAAACAGAAGTTAAAGGGAGATAATTACTGTACATATGACAACCCCAGCACAGTGGGACAGGAATCCCTTACTGGGATATAATAGTCTATATCGACAGGTCCTTGTCATCATGTGACAAGCCTCAGGATCTGTACATTACTTGACAGACCAACACCAGGACAGAAGTATTAGCTTAGCTATATGTACACAGGCCTTAAACAAATGAAGCCACTAGACTCTCCATTTCAAATCCACAAATGATGTGTAGGTCATAGCAGTTTTGAGAAACATGATTCCAAATGCATGAAGACCAAGAAACTCCATTGTATTCTATTTTATATTCCATTCCAGCACAAAAGAATGGTCAAACTCTTTCACTGAATTATTTTTCCCCAAATGTTTGTGGAAGGTTTAATACTTGTTTGATATTGAAAAATAAACAGAATGCTATATACAACAGTGAATAGTGAAATTATGCCGAAAATCAGTTGGAACCCATCTTTAATAAATTCAGAAAGGTAATTTACAGAATGAATTTTTAGGTAAATGAACATCACAGATCTAATATATGAAAACTTAAAACGCAATATATAATATATACAGTCCATAGAAACTGTTTGATTTATAACTATACAGATTAAACCTACATGCATCTTGAAAGAAAATTGAACGTATTAAAACTACAAAATATATTTCTACCATTGATATTTAAATAGTAATAAAATTTAAAAATAACAACCAGCATACCTACTTGTTTTGCCACCAAACGACCCTCAAATAACAGTCGGGAAGTTAACATTTAACTTTGAAAAGCCACGGTCTATCAACCCTGATCTAACATTATATTCAATACCCCAGGCACATGTTTAATTGTAGGGTTGATCTAACATTATATTCAATACCCCAGGCACATGTTTAATTGTAAACATCTGCACTCAACTGTTACGACCAAAACACACTGTTTTATTTATAGCCATCAAGGCTTCAGGGGATAACACGATTCACAGTTTTGTAAATACATATTGTGTACAACTGCTGACTTGTTCATGTAAAATTGAAGTACCAGTATCAATATTTCTGAGATCAGGGTGCATCAAATAACCGACTTGTATGCAATTATATATACTCAGTGTTTGTTTTGAGGTCACACCCATTTCAAATTTATGAAAAGAAACTTGTAATACATGGAGGATTTTAGAGGTCATCAT